CTCTAATGCAGATTGGGACATAATTGGTAACAATATGTACACAGCATAATCTTTTCCTAGGCTGCCTGACAGTGACGAAATGGAGATAAGAGTACAAAGAAGTCTGGTGAAAGAGGACATTCATAGGCTCCATTAGCATCTATTTTTTTCTGTTTCTACAAAATGTAGCAATATTTAGAGCATTGTATAAAAAAAAGTTCACCAAAATATGAAAATTCTATTGTCGTTTACTCACCCACATGTCGTTCCCAAAGTCAAACATTGACTCTGTGGACCACTAAATAATACATTTTGCTACTAGTCACACTTTTCCACGAAAAGATCGAAAGTGCACATAAGAGCTTCTCATGTCAAACATATCAAAATTAATTATTTAAAGGGATACTCCACCCAAAAATGAAAATTCTGTCATCATTTACTCACCCTCAAGTTGTTGCAAACCTGTATGAGTTTCTTTCTTCTGCTGAACACAAAGGAAGATATTTTGAAGAACGATTGGAACTTTGGCACCATCACCATATTTTTTTTTCTACTATGGAAGTCAATGGTGCCAAACAACTGTTTGGTTCCAATCGTTCTTGAAAATATTTTCCTTTGTGTTCAGCAAAAGAAAGAAACTCATACATGTTTGCAACTACTTGAGGGTGAGTAACAGAATTTTCATTTTTGGGTGGAGTATCCCTTTAATGATTCAATACATTTTCCCGGTGAGCTGTAACTGTTGCAACCAGATTTAGTCGAGAACCAGATCAGTCCGATTTGTAAACAAATCATAGCCTATACTGTTTTTGCTAACTCGATCAGTCGTTTTATTGAGGGGGGGAAAAACAGATGTAAAAGAACATTTCATTCACGAAATCAGACATCACTATAATGAAGGGTTCAAGGGAGAGCTATGGTGGATAGGCCTATATCAAGAGGAGTGACTTAAATGTGATCCGTTTCTTGCTCAAACCGGAATATAGGCAAAAAATTCACATGACTTGGAATGTAGCCTACAGTAGCCTAAATGACAATGTTCATTTTTGGGTGATTATCCTTTAAAGTCTTATTTAGAGGAATAAAAAAATGAAATCTTACCAGACTCTTTCATTCTCAAAGTTATTCATTCATTTCTATAAAACGGTTTATACCAAGCTCCCACGAAGCCTTGTTTGAAAGGATACCGTGTGGAGGAACTGTGAGGAATGGTTGTGGAAGTGGTGATGATGACGCATGACAATGGAGAATGGATCTTTATGATAATATATGAAGGGCTTGCGTCTGTATTAAGTAACAAAGAACTTCCATTTTTCTTCCTTTGTCATGAATTTATAGAGCTTCTCTGCTAAGCTGCCACTGATGTTTAATATAGCCTACTGTCAGGACTGTATGAAGTAGGCTACCTGAGGAGGAGGCATGTAGTTTATTTTAAGACATTTCATGTAATCATTAGCATCTGTGATGACCAAATGGAAGTTCAATCTATAAAAAGTGAAACCCTTTTACAGACGCCACTGTCAAAAGTGGTGTGGTTTAAATGATAAATTTCTCTGTGGACCTTGGTTGGCGCAGACAATATACATTGTATGTAACTTTTCATGAACTAAAACAAATCTGTGAGAAATAAAAGTACAGCCTGTTCAATAGACTAGCCTAATATATTATATATTATTCACAAATATATGATGTTAACACAGTACACACACAAAAAAAAAAACTAAATATATATATACACACTCACCTAAAGGATTATTAGGAACACCATACTAATACTGTGTTTGACCCCCTTTCGCCTTCAGAACTGCCTTAATTCTACGTGGCATTGATTCAACAAGTTGCTGAAAGCATTCTTTAGAAATGTTGGCCCATATTGATAGGATAGCATCTTGCAGTTGATGGAGATTTGTGGGATGCACATCCAGGGCACGAAGCTCCCGTTCCACCACATCCCAAAGATGCTCTATTGGGTTGAGATCTGGTGACTGTGGGGGCCATTTTAGTACAGTGAACTCATTGTCATGTTCAAGAAACCAATTTGAAATGATTTGAGCTTTGTGACATGGTGCATTATCCTGCTGGAAGTAGCCATCAGAGGATGGGTACATGGTGGCCATAAAGGGATGGACATGGTCAGAAACAATGCTCAGGTAGGCCGTGGCATTTAAACGATGCCCAATTGGCACTAAGGGGCCTAAAGTGTGCCAAGAAAACATCCCCCACACCATTACACCACCACCACCAGCCTGCACAGTGGTAAAAGGTATGATGGATCCATGTTCTCATTCTGTTTACGCCAAATTCTGACTCTACCATCTGAATGTCTCAACAGAAATCGAGACTCATCAGACCAGGCAACATTTTTCCAGTCTTCAACTGTCCAATTTTGGTGAGCTCTTGCAAATTGTAGCCTCTTTTTCCTATTTGTAGTGGAGATGAGTGGTACCGGTGGGGTCTTCTGCTGTTGTAGCCCATCCACCTCAAGGTTGTGCGTGTTGTGGCTTCACAAATGCTTTGCTGCATACCTCGGTTGTAACGAGTGCTTATTTCAGTCAAAGTTGCTCTTCTATCAGCTTGAATCAGTCAGCCCATTCTCCTCTGACCTCTAGCATCAACAAGGCATTTTCGCCCACAGGACTGCCGCATACTGGATGTTTTTCCCTTTTCACACCATTCTTTGTAAACCCTAGAAATGGTTGTGCGTGAAAATCTCAGTAACTGAGCAGATTGTGAAATATTCAGACCGGCCCGTCAGGCACCAACAACCATGCCACGCTCAAAATTGCTTAAATCACCTTTCTTTCCCATTCTGACATTCAGTTTGGAGTTCAGGAGATTGTCTTGACCAGGACCACACCCCTAAATGCATTGAAGCAACTGCCATGTGATTGGTTGATTAGATAATTGCATTAATGAGAAATTGAACAGGTGTTCCTAATAATCCTTTAGGTGAGTGTATATATACATATATATATATATATTGGGTTACACTTTATTATAAGGTGTCATTGTTACAGTGTAATTGTTTATAGGCTACTGAGTAATTATAATTAACAACATGTACTTACTATAGGGTTAGGGTAGGATTAGGATGTGGTTGAGAGTTATTTGCATGTAATTATGCATAATTAACTGTTATTATTATGGTAAGTACATGTAACATGTAACAAGGACACTGTAAAATAAAGTGTTACCTTATATTGTTAGTGAATATTATTTGGTCCTACTTTATATTAAATGTAACTACTTAATTTAAAATTAATTTGATTGTGTACGTTTTTTTAAAAATCCCTGCATGCAATTACAGCTGTAATTAATTTCTGTAATTATCTATAATTGAGCCTTCCTTCTACTCGTATCCCACCTCAACAGCAAGTGTTTTTCGATTTCAAAGAGTCAAGAGTCGATTTTCAAGTGTGACCTATAATTTACAAATTTACACTATTGTATTTCATAACTATCCATGTATGAGTTTTCAGTTTCTCAGTTGAGTTTCAAGAAGCAAAAGAAGTTTGAACATCAAACTGAAATACTCAGCTCCTCAACAGATTTTTGGATCTACAAAGATAAATGTTGTATTACTCGACTGCACTTTATTTACAGGTGGGCTTATGACTAACTACCTGCATTAAGAACAAATGGTGCAACTATTTTAAGTACAGAGCTAGGTACAAACTAAACTAGCTGTGAACTTTCTGTCCCAATTTAAAAGAGCTCAAGAACTGGTGCCAACTGACTACCCTGGTGAACACTAATAAGCTCGAGTCTTATATCTAAGAATAAAAGTTGGTGCACATCCACAAAATTTGCACAACTGTAACTTTAGATATCACACAGTCAGCGAATCTGTGATCATTTTCCTCAAAGTATGCGTCGCAATTCCTGTTCGCCACAAAGGCAGATACAGAGATGTGATGTGTCAGTTCAAGAGCTCATCTCAATGTTTTTCCCCCTCCTGTTTCTTACAGTTCAGCTGGAGGGCTGTAATGATAGTCAGTGTAAGATACATTCGGTGACATTTCCATGCTGACCTCCTCCCACTCTTTCCACACAAATTGGTGTTATTGAAATCTGAGCAAACTCGCACATTTTTCCGACAGACAACCTGTGCAACCTCACATAATTGAGGCTGATAAATATGTGATTCAAACTAAGAATATTCATCAACTCTGAGCACTTCTGAAATGCACCTGGCAAGAGAACAAATTTGCATTTTCATTCTTTATCGGAGTAAAATGTGAATGCATGTCATTAGGCAGGAGAGATGCAATTACAGGGCGAAAGGAGAAAGTCCTCCCACACACATTTTTACCTTCCAGGGGCATGTCAGAATTAATAAACCTGTGTGCAAATGAAAATCCTTGCTAAAAGCATGGGACAGGTGACATGTAGTTTCGCTCTTAACGATGCAAACTAAATTTCAATAATTTGGCCCATTTAGCTCTGCAAATTCGTCACGCTAAAGTGAAAGTTGTCATATGAAAAGACTAAAATAATCCATCTGCCGTCCAACTCTCAATGATACTTCATGACAACATTACCTGACACTTCATGACAACATTACCTGACAATGACGCCGCCTTCAGTACAGATTTTCCAAATCTGTCGCGGCTATCTTCACGTGTATAATTGTACCTGCCACATGAAGTAGATGCGGAAAAAATATCTTTGCTTTCAATGCCAAAGAAAAATGACATTTAATGCACTCAAAGACTCAGAAGGTCACGCTGAGCCCGTGTGAATTGCAAAAAGAAACTCAAAGGCTTTCAATTGTGCAAATGAGTTCCAGCGCAAAGGGAGAACAGCATTCTAGAGCGATTCAGTAAAACAAAAAAAAACAAAATAATAATAATTCACACATTAGATCTCACAACAGAGGGGCGATAGATTTATCAAGACTGCCCAAAGGATAACACGCATCTTTCAAGTACACCATCGCCAGAGACGTGCAATTGAGCTGCAGTCGGTAAATGGAGCGTAGACAATGATGAAAACGTACAAATAAATTAACTACTACAAGGTAGTGTATTAGAGATATATTTTCTGGGGGAGGGGGAAGAGGACATCATCACATAAAGCAACAAATGGCTGACATTGCTCCGAGTGTAGCTGGATTACAAGGTGGATATGCTCCTGTGCCGTACACTTCTAAGACAAAGGCTGTGATAGATTTTGAAATGTTTTTATTTCCTCTGGTCCAAATATGGACCATGTATTCATAGAATCAGCTGAAATGTGTGCCCGGTCGAGCCTGGAGGAAGGTGCTGGACTCCAGCAGGGATGAAGGTCCTAAGGCAGGGAGGGCAGTCTGTTTCTGACACGTTACAACATCTTCCTCTTCTCAAACTCCTGCAGAGAACAGGGAAGTGCAAACAGGAGTCAAACAAACATGATCAGCAAGGGTCTGCCTCGAATATGTCCAGAGCAGGGGTCTGTTATGCGGTTAGTTTGTGCGAGTCAAGAGTTTACTGGTTTAAAGGGCTGAAGTAGACAATACAGAAGATAAATTAGGTGAATTAAATATGGAAATGGAGGGAAACATAAAAGAAAAGAGAGATTCATAAGGCAGTCACTTGATCATTTTAAATCTTACCTACAAACGTTTTATGTGCTGTTTTTACTATGCGAAGCACTTTCCGAAACCCATTTAAAGTGTATTATTATTATTATTAAAACAAAAAGTAAAAACAAGCAAATTTATTTGTTCTTTATTTCTTCAAATGGAACACAAAAAGAGAATGTCCACATTTCTATTTTCTCCTTTTCTTTGGCTGCACAATTAATTGTATTTTAATCGTGATAACTATTTCTGCTTCACTAGATTAATCATAAAATAACCGCCACAATATTGGACCACAATTTATACTGAAAATCCGTTTTCCTTTTAGTTTGATATTTCCGCATTGGTAACAAACCTCCTCTAGCGTTCATGCTTGGGGTTGCCAGGTGTCCCAAACAGAGCTTTTCTCTTAAAAGAATACATTTCTTCTGTTTTACTTAATCTTTGCAATCTGTGCATGCTCTCTGTGTGTGTGTGTGTGTGTGTGTGTTTCTACCATTTTTTAAATTACTAGACTTTTCAGGCTTTATTCAGTCATCTTGGCATCTCTAATAGTCTTTCTTTAGGAATCTATAGCATTTTTTTTTGTTCATATATGTGGAAATTCTGAAATGCTGAAAAGCTCCCTCCATTAAACAGGAGATGGCTTTGTGAGTCTCAGGATTTGAGGCCATATAAAGGTTAATCGCACAAAAAAAACATTTAGAGAAGCTGTGGGTAAACACACAAAGCTGTGAGAAATGTACAATGTATGATGCAAAGACAAATGTAGATTGTTCCAGTCAGAAATAGCTATTTACATAGTTAATTTACAAAGGCATACAGCTACAGGGTGATGCATTGTGCTTTTGAAAATGCATTTTCCTCAACTAAGGGTGACGGAATGGTGCATTTCAGAGAGAATTCCCTTATGCAAATGTCATGTTTTAGAAACGAAGATGCTCGGGATCTTCAGTAAAAATACTTGAAGCTCTACTGTCATCTAGTGGTCAAGCAGTGCATTGTCTCCAGCACTCTGAACTAATATAGCAGGAAATGGCCTTGAGTAAGACAAGAAATTAAGTATTTGCTGTGATTACATCATTAGTAATATGAGAGAGGATAAATGAATGAGAGCATGATTAGTATCTTCCCGTGTTGTATCCAGTAGTACACACTAGTAGGAATGGATGGTTTACTGAATATTCACAATATGTTTGCCTACATGTGAAATTAAATGAATGATTGGGCATATTAAGTCATTCATTTTCTTAAAAAGTTAAAGCGTTAAGAAAGATACTTAAAAAAATAAAAATCTAACACCATTTTTGCCGATAAATTTCCATGAATCAGTTAAAATTGTCTGCTTACCTTAAGTTTTAAAACACGGATTCAAAAGTTTGTTTGTATCATCAGTCAAAAATCTTTACAGAAGCGTCCCAGTGTGGCATTTTACACTCTATATAATGTAAATATTGCTGTAAACTACTTGATATCATCTTGAAAAAATGAACATTTTTAAAATAGCAATACAGTTTTCAAAAGTGATGGAAAAGCTGATTGAGTAATCATTACTCCAGTCTTCAGTGTCACATGAGCCTTCAGAAATCATTCTAATCAATCTTATTTGGTGTGCAAGAAACATTTATTATTATTTTGTTGAAAACGTTTGTGCAGCTTAATATTTTTCTGAAATATTTAAAAAAATTTCAGGATTGTTTGATGAATAGAGTCTCTTCAGAAAATTTGGACTAAACCGCTCAATTGACCGTTCACAAAAGCTACGCCCCCTAGTTATTGTTACTACGCCCGTCAAACACGACCAGCGCGTCAGATTGCCATGACGGGAAGAGGTATACCCGTGCGTGTCAGTGACCTTTTTTTGGAGCAATACTCAGCGATATCCTCCAGATCGAGGCACAAGGGGTTACAGTATGCAGTGGAGGGATATATTCAAAATATAAAAATACGCAATGAAGGAGACATGACTACTATCGAGGTGAATGCTTATACCGGTCTCAAGCGAAATCTGAGAAACCCCTAGTCTGGTTAAAACCAGACCATTCTCAGTTGTAACTGAGTTATGGTCTGGCAAAGCGTCATAGACAAATCATTTCCAGAGGGGCGTCACCAACGGACGTCGCGGATAGACCTAAAACCAATCAGAGCGATGAAGGAGATGACGTATGCAGAGCAGCAGAAACATCTCCGAGTGTTGTTCTTTGCTCGGTTTTTAACAAAAAGGAAACGTTCAAATCGCTTAAAAGAGACACGATAGCTGATTCGAACGAGTGATGTTCGACGGCGGCATCCATCTTTGTAATGTAGGCTACAAAATCTGTTTCAAAATCCCAGCGCTGTCGTCATCATGTAAAGCCCGCCCCAACGTTTCTGATTGGTGCCTCGATTTTGACGGATTGGAAATGTGCTTGAATGAGCTCTTTGGCAGACTATTTTTCAGAGCAAATCTAAATTTGCCGGAAGTTGTCTGGGTTTTTCCAGGCTAAGAAACCCCATGACCTGTACCTCAAATGCAACCAGCACAGCCTTGAAGAAGATTTTATAAGCTGGTTCATTGGCTATTGTTTGGAGTTAGAAATATATAACTCGAGCTGCATATTTAGTAATTTTGCCTCAGATACAGGATTATACATTCTCTTTAACAAGCAGTTGTTCATTACCACGGCAACCGCTTGCATGTCATGCTAAATGCGATTTTCGTGTTTAAAAAGTAACTATACACAAGAGACGGAAAGATGCAGATAACCATACATTATTTAAGGTTATTTCTATTCGTTACGATATTGATATATGAACTGATGTTGTCAAGTAAGCTTCATGCTTTCCCCGTTGCGAGCGTACACTCCTCTAAACTGTTAGTCTACAGGTGCTGCACTGCTAGTTGACTGCTGCTCATTTCCCCCCGAGAATATCACGTTAACAACAACCCTTTAGAAAACGTAATTCCTTTGTGGATCCTCTTGATCTGCTTTCTCCATGTTTCTTTGACTAATCTCAGTGTCTCAGTCTCACGCACGCTGCACGCGAGTTAACCATGTTCGACACATTTAACTGGGAGTGGGGCCGTCCACACTGTTTTTATCCATTGTAGGCACCGCTCACGTTGTGTTTTCGGCTTTGGAAACGGAAAGAACACAACTCCTCCAGACAATCTCTCGGGGTATCTAGTGTCCGATTTACAAATGACGTGGGCGCACCGCTTCACCATCTTGCTTGGAGTCAATGTTTGACGGACCTGCTCACATAGTAACAGTTGCTATGATGTGTGATTGGACAATGGCTGTTTTGGGGGAGGGGCCGGCGAAAGGTCAATTCATATGGATTAGTTTTATGATCTCTTTATAAATTTTTGAGACCAGAAAGGTCTCAGATTTCATCAAATAGATCATCATTTTTGTTCCGTAGATGAACAAAAGGTATTTCATTTTAAATTTGATTTGGTCAAAATGATGCATAAAAAGAGATACTGAATAGAGTCATAAAGCTGACAAATATTTCTTGGCTATGTCATCCAGGCAGAAACACAAGGAATAATGAGAAACACTGTGGGATAAAAGGTCAAGACATCGTAAGTGAGTTGCCAACATATGCATGTGTGATAACATGGAGAAAAAGCTTTGAGGTGTGCGTATGTGGCATCATTATTAAATCGGCCAATGAGATAAACACAGATGTATGAACACAATGGGCTGCAAAATTAACAACCAGCCAGAGTGTTTTTCATCATTACTTCCAATGATTACAAATTAGAATCCAGGGGTGTGGTGGAAGAGGAAAGAAAATGGTATTGATGCAGAGGAAGGAGCGTTTGCTAGTGCTAGTAATGAAAGGCTAAAATGATGAATGAGTGTAATACACGCTTTCACTTTTTATACATCTTGTTAAAAACACTGGCTGTGATAAATTGAGATAAAGAGGCAGAGCTGAAGAGGCAGAGCTGCTAACTCACCAATACAAATGGAGCTTTGTTCATTTTCTCTCTTGCGGTGTAGCTTTCTATTGAATACCTTACGGTAAAAACTGCTGTGATTGTCTAAGGGGGCCCTTTATATAAGTCACTATATTGGCCCACAGAACAGTGGATTTCCTAGAGCCACACAAACCGATAAAAATACTTTACAAAGAGTTCTCAGCAAGCTGACCTCACAGTGAGGATTCAAACTAAAAGGAGGGGAAATAAAAAAAACAGATTTTTTACTAAAAAGAACATCTTTAGCCCTATTCGCACGGGATTAGTACTATCTGGGGAGCTCGTGTGATTTAGAACAGGGGTTCTCAAACATTTTGGAGCCAGGGACCCCTTACAGGGGAAAAACATCTCCAAGGACCCCCTCATATTTATAACAGTGACTGAGCCTAAAGTTAATGTGGGAGCGGTTAATTAAATATTTTGACACAAATAGTCTCCACCCAGGGTCATTTGCAGGGTTTTCTAAATAGCATACTGAGGTCCCAAAAGTGATCTTGCTAGGGGGGTCCGGGGGCATGCCCCCCTGAGGAATTTTAGATTTTCTTGATCTACACGTGCATTTTAAGGTGTTTTTAAGGCCAAAAATTGTACTTTTATTCTTGATATACCCAGAAAGAATGGAAGTGCAATGTGACAACATGTCCCATAGGTGGGGCACATTGTAACATGACCATATGACAGATTAAAATGTTATCTGATCTAATCAAACAAATATACAAGACAAACAAAAATATTTTCTCAATAAAATACAATTAACTTTTTCATATAAAATAATGGCATTTTAAAATAATTAAAAATAAACTAATTTTTGAGTTTGACAACGAACACATATACAACATAGTTCAAAACATATTCATTGTAACGCAGTGTGACAACATGACCCACTTGCACAACTGGGATTTACGTTGTGCCCCGCTATCCCCTATATTTCCTTTCCCGGTTGATACTTTGCAAACTGATTGTTTCTGTCGTTCGTTTAAACTTCTATCTTAAACAGCTGTTTAGTTTAGCGATTTACATCTTATCTCGCACTTTATGACCGAATAACTGAAGCGTCATGCGGAAATTCGCGCTCGGCTTGCAGCTTCTGTGAACATAAACCAGCCTACTTTGATTTAATCTCCGACTCAAACATTTTGACATTGACGAGCGCTGTTAGTCTGCTGAAGCAGCTCAGATGAGAAGCTCAGTTATCATCGCGATGTTTAATATCCTTGCAGCACCAAATTAGAGTTAATATTAGGCAATTATTTCACAACTTTCATTATACACATAGAAAAATTACAGAGGCCCGGACCTCAGGGACCTCAATTGTGGGTATACGACACTGTCCCTATGCACAAATTTATAATTTACTGTATTTTCCAGAAAATAAGTTGCACCTGAGTGTGTAATACTTTGTTGCGCTCTTGAGGCGTAGTAGGCCTACTTCCCCTCACTCCACAGCAAATCCTTAAATTAATGGTATTCAGAACAAAACGAGAATGAAAAATTATACTATTAATAGATAATAATACAAATAATAATAATAGTAGTATACAGACAACATTTATTTAAAACATCAATTCTAAACGAATTAAGTTGAATCGAAACTGAAACTGCAGACGTTGGGCTCGTGCATCTCTCATTCGGTCCAAAGTTTCCATATTTGCGATGTAGCCTAACATTTGGATGCTTAACTATTTATGTAAAGAAAGCTTCATGCTTCAGTCCCAATATAGGCCTACACGTATCAGCATCTTCACATTTTGGAGAAATGAGATTGGAACAATAGCAAGTCGACAGTATATGATTGACCGTCACTGCCTTCATAGTGTACAACTGCAACAGACAAATTAAATTAAGCAGAACTTTTTATAAGTTCGGTGAGTATTTTATTTTGACAATGAACAGGTTTTGATGTCAAATTAGCAGTGCTAGAACTGACATATTGTGCGCGCACACGAGACGCCGGCGCGAACACTTGGATTTTTCCTCAGCAGTGGAAACAAAGGAATACTCTTATTTATGGTCATACAGATAAGAGTACATCATTCAAAACGGCAAAGTGTCTATTTTTTTATTTGTGTATAGGCCTACATTAAAAATGACTACAAAATGTCATGCCTTTTAAAAATAAAGAACACAACAGGATGCGCGTTCTGCCGTCTCCGTCTCCTTAGCTGGCGCACGTGCCCAAAAATCGACCAAAACACAGCGAATACTTGACGCACAGACATAAGAAATATAGATAGATTATCTATCTATAGAAACCTTTAAGAGCCTACTTTTTTATTATTTGACATTAAATGCATTATATAAGTCACGTTGGAATAAATAGCAAGTTTTCAGATGCTAAAGAAAACATGACTTATAGTCGGGAAAAACGGTAGGCTGTTATAAATTATTTCGCGGACCCCCTGGCTATAGTTCACGGACCACCAGGGGTCCGCGGACCCCACTTTGAGAACCACTGATTTAGAAATTACCCCGCCACATCTGAATTTAATGTGGCGCATTCGCACGGGATAACCGAAGCCTGTGATTTTACTCAAATTTACTGACTTATCTCTCGGATATGACGTCAATGAGACGTTCTGATGATTGGAAATTTCTTTTCGTTATAGGTCTAGCTGTATGATATATTATGATATAAACAGAATAAAGTTCCTTACCGCATGCTGCTATACAGTACATGTCATTCATATCCATCTAATCATTCTTTTTGTTTTTGCTCTTGTGGTGATTTTCAGCTTTCTTTTTCTGCAAATTGTGTAGTTGTGTGTAGCGATATGACCCAGCACCCAATATACTATCAAAACACTCCAACACAGGCTCCATTCTTCGCGAAAGATGGATAAAAAGGCGCACATGAAACAAAAACCTTGAAAAAATGATATACGATCCGGCCAAATCACAGAGATGCCGATTCACACGGGACTAATATTATCACAGGACCTCGGTGTTCGGCGAAATATAGTAAGTCATTAGTGGGGGAATTTTTACTTTACAAATTACAGACATGGCCGATTCGCACGGGATTAAGATCTCAGACAACCTCCGCAATTATTACAAATGACTAGAGGTCACCAGGTAATACTTATCCCGTGCGAATAGGGCTTTTAATGGCTTGCTCTCAGCACGCTTGAGTTTGCAGAAGCTCAAAAACAGTTGAGCATTTAGACCAGTGTTTCTCAACCCTGCTCATGAAGGACCCCCAACATTGCAGATTTTCTTTGTCTCCCTAATCAAACACACCTGATTCAACTCATCAGCTCATTAGAAGAAACTCCAGGACCTGAAATGGGTGTGTCAGAAAGAGGAGACTTTCAAAATGTGCAGAGTTGGGGGTCCTCCAGGACAGGGTTGAGAAACACTGATTTAGACAGTGAGGTGTGAGCTCTGTGGTGACTCTGCCTCTGAGTTACAGCTCACACTGAGAGAAAACGGTCTCACCTTGAACATGGTGCTGCCCAGCTGAGCCGGAGACATGCTTACGACGACTCCAGCCGACTGCAGGGCGGCGATCTTCTCTTTGGCACCCCCCTTGCCTCCAGCAATGATGGCTCCTGCGTGGCCCATTCTCCTTCCAGGAGGGGCTGTCAAGCCAGCAATGAACGACACCACTGGCTTAGCATTGGCACCCTAAAAAAAAAAAGATGACATAAGTTAAAAGACCTTTTTTTTAACGAGATTAATACTTATATCCAGAAAGGATTCGTAAAGACTTTTACAATGTTACAACTTTTGCTTTCCCCCAAGAAAGTTTGCATTTAATCGCAAAACATTCGCATTTCCCAGAGAAACGTTTTGTTCGCTCTCAAAACGTTTGTATATTCCCGGAGAAAAGTTGTTCACTCGCAAAACTTTAGTGTTGCCCCAAGAAATGTTGCGTTTGCTCGTAAATCTCCCAGAGAAACGTTGCGTTCGCTTGTAAAACTTTTGAGTTCCCCCAAGAAACGTTGTATTTGATCGTAAAACTTTTGCGTTGCCTCAAAAAAAACGTTGCGTTCGCTTGTACAACTTTTGCGTTCCCCCAAGAAACGCTGTTTGCTCGTAAAACTTTCGCATTGCCCCCCAAAAAAGTTGCGTTAGCTTGTTAAACTTGTTCCCTCAAGAAACATTGTGTTTGTTCGTAAAACTTTTGTTGCTCCAAAAAACGTTGCGTTCGCTTTAAAAACGTTTGTGTTCCCCTAAGAGCTCCTTAGTTTTCAACATTGATAATAAGAAGAAATGATTCTTGAAATTATTGAAATAAATACAGCCTTGGTGAGACTTCTTTACTAAAAATTTTTTTTTTTAATCTTACCGACTCCAAACTTCTGAATGGTAGTGCTTGTGTGTGTTTATACAAAATTAGTCTTGGGTATCATTATGTCCAGCAAAAATGTGTTTTAATATGACCACTGCATTATGGGTATCCATAAAAATAAGTATGGTCATAGTAAAGCTAGGCAAGGCCAACAAGAATAATGTTTTAAGACAATTACAGGAAGTGAGTCTATTTTTATAGACTTGTAAAATAAGAGGCAAAAATAAGTGCAGGGGCTTTTAGATGGTGCATACTGTGCACAAAATTGGCATTACAAAGGAGGCAGATCAAGGCATCTAATAGCGTGTGTGGGAGTAAGCAGATGGGCAGACAGTGGTTAGAGTCTGTCATTTAATACAATCTCACTTTCATGGAAGGTACTGTAATTTGTCATGTCCATGCCAATTAACTGCCATCGCTGATGGACCATCATGCTCAGGCTGTTTTTTCTTCATTCCAAACATATTTTGTCCTCATGAATGGCATCATAATTCCAGAGTGAGATGTGGGCTGTTGTAATCGCACCAGCGTGGGGCAACAGGTGGATGAGAGTGTCTAGAATGAAACCGTAGACTAGCATTTTGGATGTTTTTAAGGCCGTTTTGACAGCTTTTCTTAGAAAGGCTGAAATACTAAGCTAAATACTAACTTTGAACTCTGATGAGGCTGTACCGAAAAATCAAGGCTTGGCTGGTTAGCATCAGTCAGTCCCATAATTCTGGGGGGAAAGCATATATCTGTAATGACAGCCACTCCCAAAAGAAAAAAAAAGCTGTGTATTCTGATAAAACTATTTTTTCTTATAATTATATTACAGAAGATATTTTTCAGTTGTATACTTCTGGGGGTTCCTGTCCTGTGTCAGCTGAGCTATTGCCAGAGATCAATAGGAATGCTAATGGTTGTTTTCTACAGTGTAATAGACCTCCCTGGGCTCAAATGGAGCCAGAACTAATTCAGACGTGCCCATTAGAATCTCACAAGAGGGAAGGATCCTAAACTTCACAGGCAATTTTTGATTTCACTAAAAACTTTAAATGGGAATGCAAACTTGAGGTACAGACGATGAAATGAATGTGACCGCCAGTCAAAGACAGTCTAACCTAATACTTGACAATCTTCAACTACCCGCTAACATTATAATGCGCCACAGGAGCCGTATTCGGTTCAAAGCTCAAGCTCTGCTCATGCTGTTCATGTTCATGCAGCCGACTGCAGACTAAAGCCTAATCTGGGAAGATTACGATAATGAATTGAGGAAATTACATTTTGTTCATGCACAAAACCTTGTGAGAATGCTGAAATGGAACATCATCCTTTCATTTTGTGCTCCTTTTTTGTTGAATGACAATGACTTTCTCAGACACTCTCCAGACAACCCTATTTTAAAAGAAACTCAAATGCTGTCATTATTTACTCGTTGTTGCGAAAATTCTTAAAGAATAATCCTTCTGTGTCCACAAAAAAAAATGTTTGGAACTATGTGGATGAGCAGATAATGACAGAATTGTAATTTTTCGGTGAGCAATCCCTTTAGAAGTGTGTGAATTGAATGGATTTTTACAGAAAAATTGTTGATAGAGACATGCAATGAACATTTGCAGAAAACACAATTTGTCAGGTTTCCATGTTAACTATTGGAAAGCTTCCTGTAGATCATTCAGCAACTCCCAATATTGTTGCGGTGACTGCGGACTGCAAGTGGATCTTAATGGGCAACATTCCCTAGGTGACAAATGTTAGCAATAAGCAAAAACAGGCACATAGCTGACAACCACTTGAGAGGAATATTCATATCAATATGCTAATTTGACTGAAAAGCAATTTTGCAGTTTGCCTTGGCAATTCTGACACAAGGACTTACTGGTGTATGTGTGTAGTAGGGAGTTGATAAATTGACAGAAAAGAGGAAAACAGGGTACTCACACCATTATTTGCACAATGCCACCGCAGCTAATAAAAAGAGATATGGATCCAACAGGAAGTGTGGGGGCGTTTAAATGTGCTGTTAAGTTATGGGATTGGACCATGAGCTTTGTCACTACTATTATAAAAAAAAAAAAAAACAGACGCTCTTCCTAGGCCAGTCTAAAAGGGTTCATGCAACATAAATCCGACGTAACTTTTTCAAGAGCTAAAAGTTTACAAGCTCCTGTATGGATTGCCGCTTCCATTACCGCCTAGAACCTATTGTATCATCCCTGTCTGCACTTCTTAATGAGACTGGCATGCGTTTAACAGTCTGATCGATTCAGGTCTTGTTAACAGCGGCACAAACGGAAAATTTCATAACTGCCAAATGCTTCTCCCAAGGCTGAATCCACTGCATGAAATGTAGCATGACCATGTATTGATCTCCATTATTCATGGCCAAGGCCATTTTTGGAGCATTCCCTTAAAAACTACCTTGTTGAGGTAATGAGAAAAGTTTACCTGAAAGGACCAATTTCACACAATCTGCAACTAGTCGGCGAGGAATAATTCAATTCCCCCAACTAATTTAATTGACAGGCCGGAAAAGAGAAAAGTTTCACAGCGCTAATGCGTGCTCAAAGAGCTACATGCTCGCTTTTCTCAGAGTACACAAAAACGCTTAATAGTTTCTGCAACTGTGAAACTTCTCAACAATGCTGAAAATTGCAGGTTGACATTTCGCCGTTTCAGTTCAATTCAAATGTGGCAACAATAAAAACGAGCTCTTTAAAACAGTCTGATTCACAGGATGGAGAAGAGGCTCTTTGAACATGAGGCACTTGTTCATGCAGTTAACATATTCAGAGCGATTTGCTTGATTTTCCTGAGGTTACCGTGCCCCTCCGCTGCCACGCTCTCAGACTTGAGTTCCATCTGAATAACGTCTGGCTGTCTGAGTTCCTCTTGAGAAAATGGACTTTCGTGCATCAGTTTGCTGTACGCAATTTGGCACAATCAGCACGGCTGAGTATTTCTCGTGCCAACGCTTGTTTTTAAACATCACAGACAGAAAAAATTCCTCCCAATGCAAGAAACTTGTAAATGCATCAGCTCTCTCTATGGCTTTCAGACTGGAGGAATAAATATGACATGCTTAATGATGACACAAACTGAGGCGCTGTTAGAGTCTTTGATTGTGAGTGAAATTCAGCCAGGCTGGTCCAAAGATCACAATGAAAACCCTGTAGATATTTCTTCACAGCCAATACAGATCAAAGAGCAGTTGGAGGCTGTATTCTCATTCACAGAAACAATGTGAGCTCAGGGGTGAGTAGCTCCAGCCAGCAAAGAAAGAGGAGCTTCATGTGAGGTGAGGGTTCCTGTTTGTTGGAGAAAGCTGCCGATATCCAGAAGATGAAAAACATTGTGTACGTCCCAAGGGCGAAGAAAAAAGTAAGCACTGATTCATGGTTCTAAAAGTGATTCATGAATGAATAGCAGTGATTCTTAACCTTTGAGTGCTGTGTGTGTGTGTGTGTGTGTGTGTGTGTGTGTGTGTGTGTGTGTGTGTGTGTGTGTGTGTGTGTGTGTGTTCTTAAAGGCAGTTAACCAAAAATAAAATAAAACTAGCATAAAATATGCATGAGATGTCTTTTGAATGGATAAAATAGCTTTCTGTGATGAACAGACGGAAATATCAAACCTCATTTGCATTAAATATGGCATCTGATGTTAATGACGCCAAACATCATCAGTTCTCAATGTCTCATAAAAGATCATGACTTGTCAATGAGATGTTTTCCATTGACTTACAGCCTACATTTTACTCTGTTCCTCACACAAAACTATAATATGACTTCAGAAGACTTGACTTTAGTGAAAGAGTCAAATGGATTACTTTTATGATTGACAGCCCCTGGTCTCTCTATTCAGTGTTAATGGTTTAGAAAAAGAGTATTGTGAACATCCTGACTAACATTTCCTTTTGTGACTGACAGAAGAAAGTATATGGGTTTGAATGAATGAATGAAGAAGGTTAATTTTAGGGTGAACTATTGCTTTAACGTTACCTGTATACAGCCAGAAATATTGTTTATTTTACATGCATTTGCTGAACAAAATTGGCCATTTGCTGGAAGTAAGCCAACAAAAGGAGGTTGCTGTTGTAGAAAAATTTGGAGATAGCACAAAGATAGCCTTGTGTTTTGAGGGTAAGTAAGTGTTAAAAGTTTGAGGTAATATTATTAGACACATTCAGACATATAACCTTTAAATTGAACAGGATTTCTCAGTTAAGAAATCACGTGTGAAAATTAGAAGCAGCTTACAGAGTTGTGCTGTTTCAGGTACTCTGCCGCATTCTCTTCTGCATCTCCTCCAATCTCTCCAATCAGAATGATGCCTTCGGTTTTTGGGTCGTGCAAGAACACCTCCAGGCAGTCAATGAAGTTAGTGCCATTAAAAGGGTCTCCACCGATACCTGAAAGAAAAGACACTTTATTCAAAGACTTCTCTGCACTAAACACTTCCTGTAGTCTAGGCAGATGTATTATAATGGATGACTGATGGCTAGATTGCCATACCAATGCAGAGCGACTGGCCCAGACCCACTTGGGTCGTCTGATGTACTGCTTCATACGTAAGAGTGCCCGATCTAGATACAATGCCTGAGAAAATAAAAAGGAGAATAGAGCAAGATAAAGATAAATAGCAATTTTATAATGTAATTTGTGTTATTAATTGAACATATTCATTTAGTGCAACTAATTATTAGATTAAAAAAGCATGACTAACAATTGAAATTTTCACACTGCAGTACTTAACAGGCAAAGGTTCAAACATATGATTACTTAATAGGTACAGTATATAATGTAATTAACAGACAGCCCTAAATTAATACAAAGTGTGAGTCTCTACTTCTCCTCCATTGATTATGTGTTCTGCAGACCATACAATTAGAAGAAAAGGTTCTATATAGAACCTTAAAGGGTTCTTTCGGGTGCTACAAGATTTAGTTAATTAATTTTTATGAAATTTTATGAATTAAACAGTTTATAAACATACTTTATCACAAGAAAAAATGTAAATGACCATTAAACATGACAGTATTATGTAACCATTTAAGACATTTCTCCTTGTATAGAACATTTTCGGCATTAAGAGTTCTTTAAAATTCAGAAGGTAAGAAATCTAGATTTCTATATAGAACCACATTGAATGCTTTTATTTCTAAGAGTGTAGTTTCCTGTCTTCACAATATTCTAGAGCAAAAATGTAAATTCCTAGTGGGATTTAACATTTTAATGCACTTTTGCTGCTCTCAGATCTGTTCCTAATGCCCAATGAAACCAGGGGGCAACTAGCCAGCGTTAAACAAAAGAAATCTTTCTAAATGTCAAATGTAACCTAATAGAAAAACAGTACTGGAAAAGGCCAATTTCTATTTCCAGACAGACGAGGTCACAACTCTTATTATAGGAACAGGCACCAAGCTGAACTCTTGAGTACTATTCTTCAGAGCTCCTCAAAAACCTGTGTTATCTGTCTAGTGATGTGATGGCACAGCCCTGCAGTTTAAAATTCCTTGACAGAGCACTGATGAGAAGTGATCTGCATGCTCTCTTTTTAGCAGTCTGAACACTGCGCTACGGTCTACATCTGAGTTCATGTTCGAGCAGAGACTTTTCATCATCCCTGACATGGTGAGACACTCTTACAAATCCAACACATTAAAAAGGGTCCATTTCAAATCGAGACCCTGTGGCTCTGTCTGTCTGATGCTTCTTTTATGAACTTGAAGACAGGAGGAGCGCTAGGCTTTGCAAGGATCTTTTAAGATTCTATTCAATCAGTATGTGAGCTGCTCCAGTGTCAAACTCTTCTGGAAGGATGACTGAGTGAGTTTACTTTGTCATAAAAAAAGGTGTCATCCAGTGGAGCTCTTACCAACTCTTCCTTTCTTGTGGATGTGTCCAGGCATGATCCCAATTTTGCACTCGCCAGGCTGTAAGTAGAGAATTTTTTTTTTTTACTTTAGGCAATTAAAAATTACAAGCAGTAGGTTTTTGAAGTCAAAATGAAATCAAAACTGACCCAATTCAATACACATTCCAGGGGCCATATAAATATATATATATATATATACACACACAGTAAAGCCACTCAGAATAAAAATTTTGTTTTAAGTGTGTCAAAATTCTAAGAATTAGGTAATTTTATTTTTATTCCTAGACTTAAGAATAAGTGTGATTCATTAAGCTTCTTATGTGTTAAGACTAGGTCTCATCTCCTAAATTATATAAGAGTGCTGGAGAGGTGTCCTAACCTAGTTAGGAGAAACAAGATGGCAGCAGAGAGGAGGAAACCACACACTTTAATTTCACACACTTCGTCAACTTCAAACAAATTTGAGCCCGATTCAGACCCTGACAATATTAAAGATCAAGAGGATCGTCCAGAACGGATTTCACAGGACGTTTATGGTATATTTTTTTGTAATTTTCGTATACATTATAGATATGATGTTATCCACCATTTAAATGTGATATTTGTCAGAAAACTAAGGTGATACAAATATGAACAACCATGGTTATTGTCCTAAGGAGCGGTGAACCGTCTTACAAAAGCGAGAGCTTACAAAAGCAACAGAAAACAACGCTGTTCTCCATAAAAAGTGTAGCGCACAGATAAACGTTTGGGTTTATCTATGTTCAGGAACAGTGTTTAAAATAAATTAACCACTTTAAGTTCCTCAGCCTTCGGAAGGTCAAACAGAGTTTTGGAAACGTTCTGGAAAAAACATAGCAGCAGCTCAACCAGGCCTCGTCCACTTTTTTGCGTATTCCGTTGGCGTGGATTATTTAAATGAGTAACAATGTGACTTCATAAGATCTGGAAAAATCATGTTGTAGTGCAAACAATCTAAGTGTATCCATCCATGATAAAAGTGCTACACACGGCTCTGGGGGGGACAAAAAAGGCCTTCTGAAGTGAAGCGATGCATTTGTGTAAGAAACATATCCATATTTAAAACTTTATCGTCTAAAATAACTAGCTTCCGGCAGACGGCCTACGCAAGTCGACTTATGCCAAAAGAGTAAGTCAAAAGTTTCTCTTAATGTTTTTGTTGATTTTCTGAATGCTGATTTACTGCTCAAAATCTTCTTCTTTTTATCAATTCTGAAAACAGTTGCATTGCTAAATATTTCTGATTCTAAGAATAGAACAATAGAACAGCAGTTAGTTGAGATAGAAATCTTTTAAAATCTAAAAATGTTTTACTGTCACTTTATCAATTTTAACATGTCCTTGCTGAATGGAAGTACTAATTTTACTAAAATTACTAAAGATATATATATATATATATATATATATATTCATTTTTTTCCTAGAAACTTTAAAATGGTAAGAGTATAGAGACCACTTCCCACAATCTAAACCATTTCAGATGGATAAAGTCACAACCTACGTTTCCACAACCTAATATCTTGATTCATCTGTCACATTACGGAAGTAAAATGGGTTGTGAATGTGTTCCATATTGACTTTAAACAGTGTTTTTAAGAGAGACAGTGTTCAAAGAGTGGCTTCTTTGTGTTAATATTACATCTACAATTTTGCCAACTTCAACCAATTGCCTTCTACTCAAAATTTACAGCATTTTAATCTCATAATACAAATCCTGTGTTAGTTGACTAAGGTTTCCAAAACACTGTGTGGGTACAAAAAAAGAAAGAAAAGGATAACACTTTAGTTTAGGGTCCAATTCTCACTATTAACTAGTTGCTTTATTAGCATGCATATTACTAGGATATTGGCTGTTTATTAGTACTCATAAAGCACATATTAATGTCTTATTCTGCATGAGCTTATTCTACATCACTTAATAACACTACCAAAACTTAACAACTACCTTACTAACTATTAATAAGCAGTAATTAGGAGTTTATTAAGGCAAAAGTCATAGTTAGTTAATAGTAAGAATTGGACCCTAAACTAAAGTGTGACAAAAAAAAAAAAAAAAAAAAAAACCAGCATAAGTGCAGCTCTCACGTTGATGACACCGGGACAGTTGGGGCCAACGAGGCGAGTCTTGTTCTGGCGGAGCAGCTTGTGTTTGACCCGCACCATGTCCTGCTGAGGGATTCCCTCAGTGATACAGACAGCTAGAGGCATCTCTGCGTCAATTGCTTCGATGATGGCGGCTGCAGCGAAAGGGGGCGGCACGTAGATCACGGTGGCTTCAGCCCCTGTGCCATCTTTAGCCTAAAAAACAAATTAAGAATTATTCACAGAACTAAAAAAATACTTGGTCAAACATCTAATTTTAGCATTTCAGTTGCAGTTGGGCTTTATCTGAAAGGGTTTAAACTAGAGCCCGACCGATATGGATTTTTGGGGGCCGATGCCGATACCGATATTAGGGAGTAAAAAAAGCCCGATACCGATATATCGGCCGATATTATTTATGTGTATATTATAATACAGTAGCAATATTATTTATGTGTATTATAGTACAGTATACCAGTCAAAAGTTTGGACACTTTCCTATTGGTGTGTACAAACTTTTGATGGGTACTTTACACAGTAGCTATAAACAGAATAAATATATTTTATAAACACGTTTTGCAATGATCACTCAAATGTGGTAATCAAACACTTGTGTGACACAGATATGTAATGGAGGCAGGGGGAATGATAGAATGAGAATTATACAGCTGAGCTGTAACCAAACTAGTTTGCATTGCATGTTATATTATATCATATTCTAAATACTGTTGCATAATCTTCACTAACGACGACTTTGTCTTTTAATTTAGTCATAACTTGTATCAATAAATAAATAAAAAGTGTCACTGACAAAACCTTATTATCTTCTATTTTTACTCTTAATTCCTCTAATCTCTACCAGTGGAGGAAGAACTCAGATCTTTTTACTAAAGTAAAATTAATAATATCATAACGAAAACGTTTTTAATTACATATGTACAGTACTTTTATACTATTTTAAATAATTAGTAAGCAAAATGTACTAAACGTGAAACTAGGCTACTCTTAATGCAAAATGGCCCTATATAAAGTGTTATAATTATATACATTTTTGGAATATTGCTTGATGTTGTAACGTAGCGTTATCAGGCAGAATGAGCTTTAACACGGTGTCTACACCGGACGCGGCCGTTACTGCTCGCGTCGCAACAGCTGTTTACCCGAGACAAAGCAGAATCAGTTTACTGTCGGAGATTGCTCGCGCCACGCATTTTAATCAATGTTTCATCAACCAATTGCCTTAATAAATAAGAAGTAGGCCTAAATATAGCAGACAATATAATCAGGACTTCTCAGCTGCGCGCTTGCAATAGTCACAAGCTCACACAATACGTGACAGAGGCTTGTAGCAGAGAAATCAATTCTGTGAATTACACTGCGCAAATCACAAGTAGGCTACTACCCACCGGATGAAAAAGGGTTGGCTCTCAGTCTCCACAGGCTACATAAAATATTCATTTTATTTTATTTTATTTTTTGTGTTCGCATTTATGAGGAAAAAACAATGTTACAGACGCAACAGTTCAGCACTACGGACGTGAGCGCTCTGAAAGCGGCACTAATGCTTTGAAACTTTCACATATACATCAAACAGAAAGCACAAAACCTTTCGTTTCAAAGTGAATTTCGTTTTGTATTAATTGTATCTTAATTTTAATCAATGTTTCATCAGCCATTTGCCTGGATTTAATTTATAAGAAGTAAATTTAGCAGACGATAGATAATCTCGACACGGAGGCGCCTGCGGGTGAACTGGAGCTCGTCTCATGAACCGAAACTCAGCGTATAGACCTGAGAATAGAAATATATCTATATTGAAATGTCTACTTTTAAACAGAACAATTCAAAACGAAAGACAGACAGACTCATGTAATCGTATGAAATGTGCATTTCTCTCTGGCGCGCGTTCACTGAAGATCGCGAGTCAGCATCGTCAACTTCATCTTTGGCTGACACTGACTGAAAACACTTGTTTATTAATAAACAACTAAAATGTCTCCTTGCTATATTTGTTGTATTCATAATCATTACTTTTGCCAGTTCTTGTGACAGCTTTTAGGTGCTTTATTGGCAGCGCCACCCTTACATGAATCACCGCACCCGCATTTTTTTAAATATTCATTTATCGGCCATTATAAATGCCGATAGTTAGGAAAATGCCTAAAATCGGCCGATAATATCGGCCCGCCGATATATCGGTCGGGCTCTAGTTTAAACTGATAAAGATTAAACAACCAGCCTCTGGCCTTTAACACTTCTGTTACTGTTGGCATTGCTTGCTCTAAATAAGTCCCCTTAAATGTCCCCTAGTACCCTCAGAGAATCAGACCAGCTGTCCAAAAAGTAACTGTGGCTCAAAGGAGACTGTCAGCAGTCACACAGGCAATTACCTCTTTCACAGAGTTGAAGACTGGCAGACCCAGGTGTGTTTTGCCCCCCTTGCCTGGGGACACTCCTCCTACTAAGTGAGAGCCATAGTCCAGAGACTGCTGACTGTGAAAGGTGCCCTAGAGACAGAGAGAGAAAAAAAGAGATCATTTAATGAAGGAAAGAGATGAATTTGGCTTACTGTTCAGCATAATCAGCTTGTAATGAATTAACATTAAATGGGTCACATCACAAAACAAAAGGAAAATCTAGGTTTCCTTTTGAGTAAAAGATCTTGGTGTACTATGAAAACATACAGTAACTTTGAGAGTGAGAACACAAAACTTCATCCCCTGTCCAAAAAGATTGTTTGTTGATACAAACTACTCATTCTGAACAGACAGATACTATCATTACTAAACACCAAAAGAACTAAAGATATAAGTGAAGTGTGTGAAAGTTCACTAAACCTTGAGCCATTTCTGCTCATGTGAAGCACCTGTTGTTTTGCAAATCTTAGCAGTAGAAGGAGTGGCTGAAATTTATTTTTAACCAGGTCCATGATCATTTTATTCAATTTGATCTTAACCATTAATACAGCATAATTTTTGATTGGTTTGTGACCACACAACAAGTGATATGTTGTACACCAAGAAACTGCTAATAAAAAACATTGACGTTTGTATTGAACTCAAAAGCAAATCCTCTGCCAAAGCATGAGCAGACCAAAGTGCAAAGGTGACATTTCTCACAAGGCAGAAGTATAAAAAAAAAAAAAGTTGTCAAAAGAAGAAAAAAAAGTGTCAAAGAGTGTGTGGGAAAATGGCTTTGAATTTTTTTTTGACAAAAGTACAAAAATTATAGACAAATGTACCTCAATAAAATAAAACAAATTAAAATAAAGTAAAGTAAAATATAAATAAATAAAACAATAAGGAGTAAATGGACCCTAATAGAATACAACAAATTAAAATAAAATAAAAAGTTAAATTAAAAAAAGTCTGTAACATGTTAAATTACATATTTTGCGTAATGGTCATGCATAGCATATTTTAGGCACGATTTTGCAAGATTTGCAGTATGTAGATAAATCAGTTCACATTCAGCTTGGTTATTAAATTACAGACTAAATGTAAAGACACTAATGTGGAACATGATATATATAATTTCCCAGCATGCAGCCCAGAACATAGACTTACAAATGCCCTTTCATTATGTGAAGCACTTTAAAATCAATGAATGCTGTAAAATAAAAATGTATCAGTAAAAAACTATTTCCCCATGATTAGGGATTTGAACAGTCTGTGAAAATGGTACGTCACGAACTTTAACCTTCCTTTCCCGATATGTGCATGTTAATTATTACAAATTATTTTGAAACATCACAGATAAGTCCAAAGGTAAAGGGTCGCCCGTATCACATCAATATCTACCACTGTAATGTTTTATATACAATTAGAAGGAATGAGGAAACCTGGCACGTTTTCGATCCATTTCCCCTCCGAGCGTCCAACTTGCCAACTTTCTACCATCATTTGTTCTTATGCTTTCATTAACGCTGAAGTGCTGAGCTAACTTTGCCGTTTTTCCTGCACGCTGCCTCCGTTAACAGTGTAGCCATTAATTTGAGGTATGGTTTGCTTATGTAGCCGAACAGCAAAGTTAATATGCCGAGATGACACTCCAGTCATTCCTCATCCCCTTCTAATTATAATGAGTGTTCATTAAAACTTCATCTAATAACCCTTTATTATGGTAAAGAGCCGTTTGTAAGAGGGTGAAGGAGAGTTAGAGAAATGCAATGAGAGATTGGAAATAAATCACAGGGGTGAGAAAAGCAAGGTTATTGGATGCTGTAGACAGCAGTTTTAGCGTAAAGGGCCTAAGGGCACATATCAAGAACAATCGTGCCTGTCTCTCCTCACATTATAAAATAAAGCATGAAAGGATAGTACATTTAAAACCCAACCCAACACATAACAGTAGTCTTTAAAGCGGTCATGTCATATTTTTATTTTATCCATTTAAAGTGCCCCTATTATGCTATTTTAAAGGTTCCTGTTGTTTTGTTGGTCTCCTACAATAGGTTTACAGTAGGGGTGTGCCAAAAAATCGATTCACAGAAGAATCTAGATTCTCATTTGCAACGATTCAGAATCGATCTGAAATGTCCAAGAATCGATTTAATAAATAAATAAAATCAGCTGGCTGTTCGCCTCCATTTTTGTAACTATAGCCTATACGGGACGTCCGGACGTCATGCACGCAGCCGGTTTTTGAACGTGAGCGGCAAATCAGAGGAAGCAAATATGGATGCTTTTATAGAGCTTCTGATGCTTCTAAATATGATGCTTCTACATTCATTCTGCCGTGGCGGGCCGCCACACCTAAAATAATCCCGCCACGGCTGCAGCTTCTCAGTGAGGTCCGATATTAATGTGCATATTGTGTTATTGTTAAGCTAAAGGCATAAAAAACATTGTAAAGCACCATAAAGTGTTCGCACTAAATTCCAAGACTTCTAAAGTCATAATAGCATAATGTGAGGTAAAAATGAATATTTAAGTCGTTAGTTAAAGTTAATGGAAACTCATCTCTCCTCAGTCATTCTCCATTCGGCACTCACACAGCGCGTCGCGTTATAGCGTTTTCTAAATCATAATCCTTTCTCCCGGGTGTCTGTTAGATTACAGCACTGGAGAGCGCTATGAATTGTTCTTCATCCGCACTGTAACTGAAATTAAATGCTCAATAAACTGTTGCAAATAATACATTAAGCATAGATAGACAGATATAATCTCTTCGCTTTGTGCTTTGAACTTTTCAATCCGGAGCGCTGCGCGCTGTGACTTCGCGTTGCTTCAAGTGCATCATTCTGCACACGGGATGCGCATAATCGCTTTGCCGCTCTTATTCGAGCCTTTCATGTTATAATGTTATAATACTTAGGGGAGGTTTAAACACCTGGGGTAAGGGGGCGTGGCCAATGGCAATCACTCATGGGCCACGCCCCCTCCCCCTGGCGAAATGGGCCTGCCACCAGAGCTGGAAAAAATCCTAGAGGAAACACTGGTCTCCGTTTGTCATTCTGTATAGCAAAGCAGATGAGAGTAGATCATGATCAGAAACCCGATTAGAAATCATTATGGATAAAATCGAATCGTTTTAAATCGAAAATCTTTTTGAATCGAAAATCGATTTTGAATCGAATCGTGGCCTCAAGAATCGGAATCGAATTTAATCGTGAGATGGTAAAAGATTCCCACCCCTAGTTTACAGGCATCAAAGGTAAAAATAAATAAATAAATAAAACACTTTCATTTAATTTGTAATTTTTTTTTATTTTAAAGGGGAACTTGGCAACCATTTCACTTAATAAAACCGTTTAGAAATCATTTGGATGGTTAAATAACCTGTTCTGGTGAAAATGGTGACTTTCCCCGCTCCCCCCAGCGTCACCAGGCGGAAAACCATCCTTGCAACATGGGGACTAACGTCCTGGTAAGTTGGAAATAGGAAGTCTCGTGAGAAGCGAGAACGAGCGAGAAACACGAACTGCTTTATGGAAATTCGACATAATTCTATGATACTGTGTATGATGTATTACCCACCTCGGTAGACATAGCTCCACGCGATAAAGTTGGCCGGCTCCGATAATAACAAATGCACATGAGCAGCGGTAGAAAGGGGGAGGAGGGTGCCACAAGTGAGTTTTTTTACGACAGTGTTGGGAAATATATGCCCCACAGCTGTAGGGGGAGCTCGATGAGAAAACATGCGGCAACAAAAGTGAAAATCAGCGAAGAAATGGCTAGAGTTGCCAAGTTCCCCTTTAAATTGCTGATCACCTTATTTCTTAGGAACTGAAAACAGTTTGTTCGAAGATTCGGTCTCTCTAAACCCCTGCTTTCCGTGAGCCTACTCTGCTCTGATTGGATCATATGGATGATTGGTCTACCTCTCGGAAATGAAACGCCTATTACCATAACTGAATTTCAGCTCTGGAGGCTTCCTCAGCACTTGTATACACAGTGATACGATCAGGAACGATGGCGTCGGTTATTCCATATCAATTCCAGCACGAGTCGTCATCCTTTTATGTGGATTCGCAGCGCTAAAAACAGCATCTTCTTGACATGTTGACAACACGAACCAAACTCTTTAATATATTGATTTATAAACAAAGGTATTTGTTATGAATTGAATTAATCTGTTTTTTTTTTTTTTTTATATTATTATTTTTTAAATGTTTCCTCCCACTTATGTTTTTTTGGGGCGTCAAAAACCACTTTGCATTCAAAATGTTGTGGCCCACATAGTAGGGTGACCAGATTTCTCGGAGTTGAATACGGGACCGACACAGAACCGGGGGGGGGGGGGGGGGGTATAAGACGCATGCGTATTAATGCATACTATAGCACACACACGCAAGATCTCTCGCTCTCTCCCTCTCTGTCATGCGCGCGCTACACGGTTTTGAACATAACATACATACATATTCACGTAGCCTTTCGAAAACGAAACCTATAATATATCAAAATATATATTAACGATGAAATACGGGACAAAACATGATTTTTTCATAATAAGTCGGGACACTAAAATTACAGTTGAAATACGGGACTGTCCCGGGAAAAACGGGACGTCTGGTCACCCTACCACATAGTCACAAGCAAGAAAGAAAGACTGAGCACTAGCCTTCAGATCCTTAAAGGTCCTGTATTATGCCCCTTTTCACAAGATGTAAAATAAGTCTATGATGTCCCCAGAATGTGTATGTGAAGTTTCAGCTCAAAATACCCAACAGATCTTTTTTTACAGCATGTTTAAATTGTCATTTTTTTGGGCTCAGAAAAACGCGCTGTTTTAGTGTGTGCCCTTTAAATGCAAATAAGCTGCTGCTGCCGGCACAGGGGGCGGAGCTTCATGAGCTCGCGCTCAGTTTCTCAGGACAATTTCATCTCACGGAATGATGATAATATCAGAAACTCTCAGTAACGGTGTTCATTTCGAGTCGGACAATAATGCCTACTGAGTCAGAGTGCTGTATAGAGATGGAACAGGTATAGTTTAGTAGTTTAATTACGGTTATTATAACATATTTGTCATCTGCTTGTGTGTATCCATTATTTATTAATAGCCTACAAGTCTGCTGTTTTGGACCAAGTCCGAATGATGATCAAACATATACTGATGAGTTTAATAAAGTTTATTGTACATCACACAAAAGATGAAGCGTCAGTTTTACTTCAGAAAATCACCATAAGAGCTGAGTAAACACAGTAAGTTATAAGAAGTGCGCAAGTTGAGGGAGTTGAGGGAGCATTCCTGTGGGCGGACGTTAGTCAAAAAACTGTTCTACTGACGTCATTAAAGAAGGAAGTAGAGGGATGCAGTCCAAACGGGCCGTTCGATGTAGGCGACTTCTGTTAAATAAAATATCTCGCTTGGCATTGAACTTTGAGCTTTATAATTTTACAGATATTATTTATACTCTAAAAACAACATTACACACTAACTAAAGTTTGAAACATGGGATCACGAAGAACGGGACCTTTAAAATTATGTGCCAAATTATAAATGTTGGGGTTTCATAAGCATGCAGGCTTTACACATCCACCTCATCAGATTCATCTGTTCTGTGGCTCACTGTTTGCATAACCTGATTTATCCACTTTTTAATATTTTGGGTTAAATAAAACTTTGGCTTTATCGACAGAATCTGTGGCATGATGTTAATTACTATGAAAATGATTTTGAGTCCCCCAGTTTGAAAAAAAAAAACTACTACTAGGGTGGTTGCCCCGAGAACTAATGGTTCCCATAGGAACGTTTTCCTGTTGCATTCGCACTGCCAGTAGGAACTCTGAAGTGAGCTTGTTGCTGTGACCTTTATTTTGACAGCGCTCAGAGTCAGAATGCCAGAGCCTGAGCAAACAAACAGTCCTCGCATTCTCCGTTCATTATAGTTTACGATCTGTCTAACAGTCCCGTCTAATACGTTATTAGATAGAACTGTTATACATAGAAAGTAGACAGTATATTCAAAGTTATTAGCATGTACTGTGTGGTTGATGTCCAGTGTTGCTAGCTGAGCAGAAATACATAATCATGTTTCTCATGGTCCCTCAAAGTTGCGTTGGATTTTCTCCTCCGCGTTAAGGTTAAGAGGGCCATCTATCACTGTTTTCCATGTTCGTATAGTTAGTTTCTGGAGTAAATATTGTATATAGGCTATAATCTGTGTGTTTACATACAGCTGTTTTAAAAATGGCAGGTGCTGGTGTTTCGCGTGCGTTCGGCCAATCCGCGTACACTAACGTCACGGATAGTTCCTATAGTGCTGGTTTAGACCCTACTCTGAAGTAGGAGCTAAATTAGTTCCTCCAAAAGAGTTCCTAGAACTAAAATCGTTCCTAGTTCCTGAGGTGCGAACACGCCGACATCCGGGTAGTTTCGCCAATAGTTCTAAGACAATAGAACTATGAAAAGGTTCCTTCGGTGCGAAAGCCCCTAATGTTTAGTGAAGTTTTATTCATGCATAAACTGAAAGCTGCATTGACCAAAAGTCAGACAAAAATTCCCTATCATCCACACAGATGGCAAAATTTATGCACAATAGACGCCAAAACACACCATCGAGAAGAGCTAATTAAACGCTCCCATTGGGATCACTGATTTCAGCCTTCCAAAACGGTTTCAGCTGAAAATGAATTTTTCAAATACTTTTGGTTGCGGAAATTTCAGTGCATCTCTACATCGCCCTTATGGTCAGGTATGGTGAGATGATCAAAATCAAAATACAGTGAGATTTCCTGTAATCGCTCAATGCTCAGCCAGTTTCCTGTCATTCAAGTAGGCCACAACCAATGAGACAGCACTTCAATCAGTAACTAAATGAATAAGACACTACTGTAAAGTGAAATAAAATAACTAAAAAAAAACAGACCTTTTCACATAATTTGGGCTGTAATGCAGGGTGTTTTGGGGTGCATAGACTGGGGTTACACACCTGTTTTCCTGTGAAGCCTTGACAGATGACCTTAGTGTTCTTGTCGATGTAAAGGTTCTTCCTGTTTCCAGTATAACAGTGTCTCACCCCAGCCTGCTGCACTGCAAATACAAAGACAACAGCCATGGAATAAGAACCAAGGATCAAATACATACACATCTAAAAGTGTATGAAACGTTTAAGATGTTTTTTTTTTTTTTTACATTCTTAGTGAAGTCTGCATGATGACTTAATGTTGCTGTTTGTATAAACATTGGATTTCATGTTTTCATTTTGTGTCCAACACACCTGCCTGCAGTTTATTTATTAATCTATCACACTAAATGCAAAGTCAACTTGGTGGCTATATTAGTAAACTTAGTTTAGGCCTATAAGAAGTAGTTGTTGGCTTCTCTTTCACATTACTCTATACGTTCCCAACAGGGTCTGATGTCCAAAGGTCAAGCTGCCTTGACCTCTCAAAGAGTTTAGAAATAATACAGGGTTGGAACAGACGACAATAGTTGAACCAAAAAATCCAATAAGTTTATCAGTGATCAGCAAACAGTTTTGACTCTTTTACTCTTAATAGGACTTCAAGAAATAGGCTATTGATCACAGCTGACAGGATTAAACAGCCCTTCCACATTTCTCTAGGTTAAAGTTCACCTAAACCACACATAGACCAGGGGGTTTCAATCTTTTAGATGCCATGATGGACCCCCAATATGATCATGCTTCCAACAGATATGAAATAACTGCAATATTGCATTAAACTGTAATTTAATTAAGTTTGCGATTTACGGTTCTTAAAAAGCACAGTATGCAGTGTATCACACAGGGAAGTTAGTCAACACTGCTTTCTGTTCAGCTGGAGTGAAAATTCCATTATTGACAGACAATTGAATTGCACAAGACTGGAAGAGTTAACCAAAAGTTTCAAAAATGGCAACACACTTTCACAGACATTGTAAAATGCTCAGAGCATTTTGATTTTCTACATTATTATTACAGAATAAAAATAAGTAGGCTATTTCAAATGTTACGCACATACAGTCAGTGAAGTAAGTTACAAGCAACCACAGACCTACATGTCACACTGTCAACACGCGTTCAGCAGACTTATGAAGAATAGTGTCATCCTAGGTGAGGATATGAGCAAAATTGTGATCATAACGGTTGCAAAGACACAGTCTCTGTCCCTTACAGCATATAAATAAGCACTAAGTTATATCAAATGATAGTGCTGTGTCTGTTACCTTCAAAGTTACTCAGATACCATCATTAACATATTAGAGACATTTTAAAAAGACAATTAAACACATTTACCAGTACAGGTCATCCGTTCATAAGTTGACCGTTAATATGTTACATTTGGTGCTGAAAACAGCAACACAACATTAGCATTAGCTGACTGTGTGCGTTTAATCGAAATAGAAATAAATAAATGACTCCCACGTTTACAATATCTGCTGGAACAACGTCAAAACAAAGACAGAGATGTGTTTAAAATGTAACAACGCTCGTGTTCGTTTTACTTACAGAGGAACCGGGCAAACAACCTGCTATGAGACATCTTCGGTCATTCACCAATGACACCGGACAGACATGGACCTAAACGTCAGTATGCATAGTAGTCCTGCTAGATGCCTGAAGAGATATAATCGCCTTCATACGGGGTAAATGCATGTTTTACAGTCTATGGGTAAAAGACATCTAAAACACACTATAGCATTAAATGCGACTTTAGAAATAAATGTAACTCTGTATTTAGAATTAATCCATGAAAACGGGCATTATTTGCTTAAAAGCGCAAGGAATTCTGGACAATGTTGTTCTACATAATATAATATAATATAATATAATATAATATAATATAATATAATATAATATAATATAATATAATATAATATAATATAATATAATATAATATAATATAATAATATAATATAATATAATATAATTATATAATAGGATATAATATAATAGCATTACTTTAATTTGATTATTTGCAGTACTACACCACTAAAATAAAGTGGTATTACAGTAATAAACAGTATCCATATTTAAATTTTATTTACAGTTGAAAACAATACTTTTTTGTGGGGGGTTAAATGAAAAGAAATAAGAAGACAGAAAGACACTGTGAACATGACCACCCAGTCTACTAATGATCCACATGATTGCAAAAAATAAAAGTTTAATAGCTTCCATTTTCTTTTCAAAATGACTGAAATTTCTGTGAATAGGTTGGGGGTAGAACTACAAATAATGAATTATTTTGTACAAATAAAACAAATTGTCTGTACAATTCATTTTTATAAGCAATTTATTATATTAAACCATATACAAAATGAACAGCTCACATCAGATGCTTACAACAAGTGTTCAATGAAATAAATAAATGAATGAATGAATGAATGAATGAATGAATGAATGAATGAATGAATGAATGAATGAATTAATTAATTGATGGATGGATGGATGGATGGATGGATGGACGGACGGATGGATGGATGGATGGATGGATGGATGGACGGATGGATGGATGGACGGATGGACGTATGAACCAACGAACGAACGAATGAACGAATGAATGAATGAATGAATGAATGAATGAATGAATGAATGAATGAATGAATGAATGAATGAATGAATGAATGAATGAATGAATTGTGCCAGGAGTAAAATCACAATTTACAATAAATTAAATTCAATCAATGTCAGGCTATTTATTTACAAAAAAGTAAATAATAATAATAATTAAATAACATAATGAAACTCAAATTGTATTAAAAAAAAACCAGGGAGGTTCTTGACGGAATGTTAGAGAAATCTATCTAAAACATTATTGAGTATAACGTTACACACTACAAAAAGTATGTAAGCTACAAAATATGCAAGAATTAATTAATCTGAATAATTTGTTTAAATAATTGTTTAACAGTACTCTGTGTGACATTTGAAAGGATACATCTCTAACTTTATTAATTATATAGTCTTTGTTCGATATTGTCCAGATCCCTTTCCTTGTACAAAAGAAAGTAAAGAGCTATTAAAAACTGAAAGCAAGTGGCGCGGTGAGAGACGAGCCAATCACGCTCAACCAACTCTGCAGATGGTGATTGGTTAACGCTTTTACGGGGCGTGGTGCACTTACGCTTATTCATAGTCAAACCTACGTATATTCTTCCAGCCTTGAATAGTCCCTCTTCAGGGGCAAACGGAAACGACTACGCAAGTACACTAACGCGATGACGTAGAACGTCTCAGGAAATATCCTGTTGGGTCTCTCAATTAGAAGCGCACAAAGTCATTCAAGATGGTGTTAGAAAGTATCTCCAGGATTATCAAAATACAACTTCCAGCCTACCTCAAGAAACTGCCCCTTCCAGAAACAATCGGAGGGTTTGCGCGACTGACAGGTATGTGTTTCATCATCATACAAAATGTCACAAGCGTAGGTGGAAAGTTACGCGCGCATGCCTGCATAGAAAGAGTGATGTATGTGTCTATGTTTTGCATCTATTAAACACTAAAATAACGCATACATTAGTAATTGGTTGCCTTCACGTGTTTCTGGGTAGGAAAAAATACATGTTTTTGTATTATCTTTCACTTATTTTCATACAATTGCATGAGAAGATTCTCAAGAGGCAGAGCTTTTTTCAAGTGATTCTATTTTCATAAACAATGTAACGTTAACGACCAGTGTGTGTCTATTTTAGAAATGTGTGAAGAACAAAACACGCAAAGCATCTGAGAGACATGGTTTATTGTAGTATTATAGATGATGGCACAAGAAATGCAGAAATATTTGCATCTGTAAGTTAAATATGTTAAAGTTGTTTGGACAGACACCTAAAATGAGCAATCTTCAGGGTCCAGCAACTGTCATTGTGTAATGCAACCGTTCATCTATAATGCACTTGTGTGCAAATATAAAGTGTATTAATAATCACTGAATATTACTTTATCTGACATGCACTTATTTTTCCACCGTACGCAGAAGAGCTTTCACTATGTAGATTGCTGTCATTAAGTATATAATATGTTCTAACACCGTGTCTCAGTTTCAGAGTGGTTGCGGCTTCTGCCATTATTGGGGATTTTGGCTCTGTTGGGTTATCTGACCATCCGGCCCTTCCTGCCCAAGAAGAAAAAGCAAAGAGACAGTCTAATAAATCTGAAGATCCAAAAAGAAAATCCTAAAGTGGTGAATGAGATCGACATAGAGGATCTGAGGACTCCAAATGTTTGTTACTGTCGCTGCTGGCGATCTAAAACGGTAGGAATGCCTGAGAGAAAAAAAATTATGTAGAAAATCAATTTATCTAGGTAATATTAAGTGGGTGATTTTTTTTTTTCCTAGAACTTTTGCGGTAAATTGGTTCAATGAACTATCAAAACATGCTGTAACAGCACCAAAGGGGGGAAATGAACATAAAACAACTAAATTCTGACTTATTGGCACAAAACAAAACCTTGATTAACTTTATACTTGGAGCTTTGGGGAAAATACATTTTATATATATATATAAAAGTAATAAAAAATGTATGATATGACCCCTTTTTAACTGTTAATTTGTGTTGGAAAATGTGTGGTTTTCTGCTTCCTCTTTGAGAGTGTGAGTTTTGTCAAAAGTCTAAGAGCCACGGTCACTATCAGCACTTAATCTGTTCTTTCTTATCTTGCAGTTTCCTGTTTGCGATAAATCGCACATAAAGCATAATGAGCTGACGGGGGACAACGTTGGTCCACTTATTCTTAAGAAGAAGACTCTGTAGCCCACCTGTTTTGGCTCGGAGTGGCATTTTTTTAATGCATATTTTTCTCCATGGAAAAACTTACTGTAATTTTGTTTGTTGTACTTACCCCAAACTTTTTCCAACTTATTGTGTAGAAATATAGAGCTGTAAATTCGGACTATAATGCTCAAGATATTGTGGTTGATTCAGAGAGATTAATTATTTTGATTTACGTTTTGTTACATCGTTGTGTGTTTATTGTGTGTGTGGCAAATGTAGTTTGACTTTTGAGTGCAATATAATAGGACCATAAGGAAAAATGGCGGTTATCGTCGCTAATCAATCTTTGTGGCCATGAAAGTGTCTTTTCCAATCTTAATCTACATCTAGATTCAGTTTTAACTAAGTTGCCTTAGACTAATACTATTTTATGTGCGTTTGACATTTTGTAAGACAACAACAAATCATACTTTTAACTTTTCAATGTGAAGTACATTATTAGGATTTGCTTTTGCTTTTCGTTTTCTACAGCATTATTCTTAAACCAACAATAGTTCTAAAATGTTTGCTAAATTATTTTAACATTTTCAAGTGCAGGATACTAAACTTGACTTTTGTTCGTATACCTACAGACATTTCCCGTTGCATTTTGGTCACAGCAATTGTTACACATCATTCATATATTACAACATTCATCCTAATGTTACAAAGAAATGTGCCCTCTTTTCTCTGTCCACCTGAACCAACATGCTGCGACAATTACAATTTATAGGATGTGTGCCATTCTTCATATTCAAAGTTATAAATAGTTTGACAATCCCAATCTTTTTTTCTTGTGCCACTTGGTTTTGCATTTGATGGCTCTTGTTCATAGATGTTTTCATAAAAAACACATTTGTATGATAACTGGAATGTGCCTAATAACTTTTATAAAATAAAAGGTAACCAAACTTGTTTTATCTTCCTGAAAATTCTTTCTGTGACGGATGAATGTGAGAGGCCATGTAACAGTCTATTTATTTCTTCTGTGTACTTTTCCTAAAACACACAATAGTGCAACTCCACTACACTGATGCTCCATGTCTTTAAAGTAAAAGTGATGCTTATTTACATCTGCTTTGCCTTAGATGATAAAACAAGATATACTTCCAAATGCAAGCAGGGGGTTTTGCCTGTCATTTATTAACAAGGCATGTCATTCATTTTCTGCAGCAATACATCTACAAATTAAAATAACTACACATACACCATACAATATAAAAATAAGGGTCTAATACTCTTAACAGTAGTCATTTAATATGAAAATAAATATAATGAACAAGACACCCAAAGTACTTGTTATTTAATTACATTCCAAATACGTGTTTATCAATAATTTTTCTTTAATAGCCTACAGACATGTGTTTTTATATATATTGTTTTAATAAAAATGACATCACATAACCCACATCGCACTGTCAGAGAGTTTATTCACACAAAACATACGTATAGCTACACATAAAACATGATATCAGAATTTTCAAATCAAACATTTAAGAGAACAATACATCACGGTTGTTTAAACCAATGAGCATTAAGCTGTGTCGTCAGCAAGTCGTTTCCCATCATGCTTTTGATCAGTGCAGTCGGTGGAGAGCTTGGAGAGCAACTGCGCGCAGCTGCAGAATCAGACAAGTGCGCCTTGCGGTCGCGAGAGTTTTTTTGACATACGTCAGCATGACATTAGCAAGGCGGACCGCACTCGGACACATTTCTAACCGACATGCATCTCGCGGTGATCACCGGTGATCGGTTCTGCGCAGATTTTGCTCATCTCAAACAAGCCTATTAACTCGCGATTGAGCGAGTAGCCTCTCGCTGCAGCCTGCGGTGGACATCCAACCCGGCCCACATCCAAGTGTGACGTCAGAAGCCACGCCCATGCCCAAATTGGACACATTCTCATTAACATTTAAAAACAGGAAGAAGCATCGAGAAGAGAAGACTAGAAGACGAAGGTAACTGCGAAACAAAATGCACAAAACACACTTGCGGTTTTAAACACTGTTCAACATAATACGAATGAGTTGTATAAGAATGAGATGTTACCTGTTGAAAGCAGCTCTTATCACTTTATTAATAGTTTGTAATGAGGTCAGTGCGGTTGATCACTTGACTAGCATTGTCAAAATATCGATGTAATTCAAATCAATAAGGTTTGATGATGTTGTTTTAGAGCTATGAATTATCTTCAACTTACATATTTGGTCATTTAACTCCCCTGTAATGTCTCAACTGAGTTGTGTGTTACATTTGGCTGAGTGAATTTCGTAACAGTAACTACGTTAGATTCTCAACTGAGAATTTTGTTTTGTATACTATTACTATTATACTATACTAACTGCATTATTATATCACCAATTTCATGTTGTTATTTGGATTAAGGGTAAATATGAAAAAAATATTATTTCAGTGCTTATGTGTGACGTTACATCCTGTAAATCTTATTCTGCTTGTAAAGAATATGAGATTTGATTGTCACTCTGTCAGTTGTAAATACTCCATATTGAAAAAGTTTGAAGTTGTTCAGTCATTGCTATGCAAACATGTTTAGATAATGTAATGTGATGATAAACTGTTGTAATATGAATAAGTTTTATTATTGATTCATAGTAAATACAGTGACAGCAAGCCAGCCATCACATCAGCAGTCTTTCCTAACTATATTATACTTCTTTTCAGGAGTACTACAATTTTGAAAGCAAGTGATTGTTTGCCATGTCGGTAAGTACAAATAAACTTTGGTTTGTATCCTAATCAAGTTAGCGTACTGTTAACTGTCGGGCCAAAGGTTTGTCTGAATTGGAATTAACAACTTAACGATAGCTAGGTTAAAACGTTTTGGTCTGATCACTTATCCCTTACAACCCTTGCAAAGTAACTTGGTTGAGCAACCGAATCATTTCACTACATCTTACTTGATAACTCTGTGTATGTGCCAAATTATCTATCTATTCTAGATTAATGGAAAGATCACATAATTATTGTCATTGTCATGTTTTACAGCATCCTACACATTTTCAGTTCAAGCCTGATGCAGATCAATTCTGCCTGGATGGCTGGTTCGAATGTCCCTGCTGCAGTTTTATGACTAAAGAGAAATTCTCATTTTCTATTCATCCATTGCAGCTCAGAGTAGATTATTAATTATTTTTGCACAATGCCCAGTGCACCCTTTTGTTACTGATATTTCTGTTAACACAACAGTGACTGTTCTCTGAAAACTATTTCAGTGAAGTGGAAGATTTTAACCGACAAATTGACAAACAATTGAGGAAAGAAGGGAGACCATTCAATTGATGGGTGTTGCTCTTACATTTACACATTTGGAGTTTGGAATTAGACGTCAGTAACATGAATATTCTATTTGACTTTCTCTCTCTACAACTCCAACATTTCATAAGTGTTAAATCAGAAATAGACATTTGTTTAACATGTTCAACTGAAATATATATTTCTCTCTCTCTCTCTCTCTCTCTCTCTCTCTCTCTCTCTCTCTCTCTCTCTCTCTCTCTCTCTCTCTCTCTCTCTCTCTCTCTCTCTCTCTCTCAGAGTTGAAGCCATTCTTGCAGCAACTGGTGGAAAAGGGGATCTTTTTGGTGCTTTTGTTCTAGCACAAATAATTTTGTTCTTTCATATAATATAAATAAATACATGTGTATATATAAATAAATGCATGCTTGAATCATTCTCGAGTTTTGCCTTCTGATATCTGGCCATATCCTTTAGTGACTGCATATGCTGATTCCATTGTTATTTTACCTGATAATGAGCAAATTAGTTAAACTTAAGGAGGTTAATCATACAGTATAATTCAAGAAACTAAGACTCACTCCACTTTTTCAGTTGTGTTGATATACATTTTTAATTTGTTTTGTGTAAATTTAAAATTTTCAAAATGCCTCTGATACATTTTGAATAAAAAAAAACACATTTTATAAAAATACTCCTGAGATTAAATGTCTTTCGAACTATGTATGTACAAACTAAAAAACTAGGGTCCTGTACCCGGGGTCCTAAAGCTGCAGCCTTTCGATTGTGCAGGAATATACTATTGATTTTAAGTAGTATAGTGAATGTGTTGCTCTGAACAACTGTGACATTGGTTATTTTAACAAAAAGTTATTACACTTGCATAGATGGGTCATTTTAGATGATGTATTAACACAAAATATTAAATAAAAAATTAATTTGTGACCAAGATATTTTAAACTATGATGATATTTTGATATGTTAAACTCATAAAACCTGTACAGTAGGTGAAGCGAGAGATTAACTGTTTTTTATGTATTAGAATATTGTCCAAACGTTCATTTATTTCAGTAATTCAACATAGCTGTAAACCATAATCATCAAATTTATAACACATAAAGGCTTGAAATGAGCATGTAATGAGTCTATATTATATATTAGTATCAGCTTTTAGTTGAATTACTGAAATAAATGAACTTTTGCACGATATTCTAATTTTTCGAGTTTCACCATATTGGTTCTTTAAGGTTTACATAAATTCCATTCTGCTGTTTTATTATTTGATTTCAAAGTCATTTGCTATAACAGGCATTAACTAATGAGTGAATTCTTAATTTGGTTGTAAAAATGCAACATTTCTATAACCACATAGAAAGAAATGTACAAAAAAAGTTTACATTTATTTATTTTTATTTAGAAGGGGTAACTATAAGTGCAGTTTGGATCCCATATAATTAAGAAAGTGACAAAAACTCGTTTTAGTTTAAGTATAGATGCTCCCTTATACGTTTATAATAGCAAAACCATGATTATTGATTACCATTTGTGTAACAGAAATACAAGAGAAATACAAAAATATCGTTTTAAGGTACATTGTTTACTTGTACTACCATGTCATTAACTTACAAAACCAGTGAGCAATGCTCACTGTTAAGGGAGTGATTGTGATTTAGACCATTCCAAGCCTGCCAAAGCGTCACAATTTAACTGCATCAATAATCTGCAGCGTCACACGTCTATACAAATAACCTCATCTTTATTATAAACCAATAACTATGATAACAGCCGTAAACATATTTCCGACCTTTCCGACAGGAAGCAGCGCCATTTGCGCATGCGTACAACAAATCGAGTCACGTGCCGTATTTGGACATGGGCGAGGCTTCCGACGTCACACTTGGATGGGCGTGGCTTCTGACGTCACACATGGATGTGGGCCGGGTTGGATATCCACCGCAGGATGCAGCGAGCTGTACTTGGATTGAGCGGCAAATTGATGTGAATGTGCTCTATTGTTAGGGGAGGGGCCAGCCTCAGTGCGTCATCAAGTAGGGGCGTGTCCATGAGCTCAGGGCTCAGGGCTCCAGTGCGTCATCGAGCCCCGTTTTAGCCCCGCGGCCGCCCAAAAAATCCGGAAAATAGCAATGGTGAAAAACTGTTTAACGGTCTAACTCCACAATTCAGTAATTCACAGTTCACACAGTCCTTGTAATATGTTTTAGCAATACATTTCTAACATTTATAATGGGTTTAGATTTTTTTTTTTAGAATTGCATTTACAGGGACTTTAAAGTAAGAATGACTGTATGCAGCATTACCAATACTCTTATTTTGAGACAAAACCATAATACAAAATCTTGTAAAAATTCAAGCAGTAAACGTAATCCACTAATACTGTTCCCTTCACGTCTATAACATTCAAATACACATTTTATGAAAAAAAAAAACTCTTCACTATAAATATCGTTCATGAAAAAATACCATGATGAACTGTGCAAAGGGAAATATATGATTTTTCTTTCTACTTCTAATTTAAAAAATAAAATAAATCCCTAAACTTTCTTTAGGTCCTAAAATTACTTCCACTGTAGACACAAAATATAATTGAGCTCCAAACTGACTTCAGAATATTTGCAGCTACAGTATTTGACTACTGTATGTGCAACAGGGCTGACAAGGTACCTGGAAAAATTCGTAATCTCAGAATGTAGGTCCATGACTATGTCCGGAATAGTAAATATGTATTCAGCCAAAATGTACGTATTCTGCAACTTGACCTTCCACTTCCAGGTTGATGGATGAGCTGAAAGAAACCTCTTTATCTGATCAGACTGCCAGATATACTGAGACATTTAAAAATGTTAAATGTTTAAGTAGCATACCAAGAAGTCAATGTTTTTCTGGTTAGTATTGGGACTATTCTTTTGGTGCCATCAGCCAAAGACAGGTTGTGTGACATTTTAACAATACAAATGGAACTAGAAGGCTGTATACAGTATATACAGCAAAATAAACGGAGCTAGTATTCCATTCTGAATATAGTCATGACAAAACTGGCCACTACATGACTTTCTGTAACACTAATATGCAGTCGCTGCAGACTGATATATTAATATCTGGTATATTTCTAATTTAATATTTAAAAATGTAATAATATTCATAAACAACAGTTTTTGTACTCTATAGTGCTAAAAATGATCAATCCTTAGCATAACGTAATCCTTTAAAATCCCACGTTTTAGAGGAGAATAAGAACTTGAAATAAGAAATGTTCACCTTAGAAGGTAAAAAAAAAAAAAAAAAGTTGGGTTTCTTCATCTGAAAAGCATGTCTGCCCGCTTTCGCACTCTGACTTCAGAGGGTTGTAGTAAGAATCAAACTTCGAGGACAAAAAGGATGATCGGCAGCCTTGGACGCTGGGGTGTCACTTCCCAGAAGCATTCCAGAAACGTCACAGGGCACTTTCATATGTCACCGGTGTCCCTGATGCAGACAAAGCACCTTGACTGACAGCTGTAATTCAGAAAATGACAATTAAAGCAATGCACACATTTAATACAATGAAGAATGTTAGTACTAAGCTAGTGTCAGATTTCAGTTACATATATCTATGTAAATTTTAGACGATTTATTTACACATATATGTGCCTGTCAAAAGTTTGGAAACATTTTTTTTTATGTTTTTGAAAGAAGTCTCTTATGCTCACCAAGGCTGCATTTATTTATTCAAAGATAACATAAAAACAGTACTATTGTGAAATACTATTACTATTTAAAATAATCTATTCCTGTGATGACAGCTGAATTTTCAGCATTATTAGACCAGCCTTCAGTGTCACAGATACTGTGTGTGCTAATATCATTTTTGCACAAAACACAGGTTTATGAATTTGAAGCAAACTGAATCTACTGGTCTTAATTAAAGGGGCTGGAGCATTTGATCTATTTTCCCCAATTTAACACATTAGCAAAGTTGAGAGACCGCATTGTACAAATAATAAAGCAAACGCAGAGTGAAACAGGACAAAGGGTGACCTGCTAGCATGCAAATTCTCCAAGCTGTGGTGATACATTTCCATGTGCATCTCATGTGGCTTGTTTATCAAAATGGATTAGTTGTCATCCACATTGTGTGACATATATATATATATATATATATATATATATATACACACTCACCGGCCACTTTATTAGGTACACCTGTCCAACTGCTCGTTAACACTTAATTTCTAAGCAGCCAATCACATGGCGGCAACTCAGTGCATTTAGGCATGTAGACATGGTCAAGACAATCTCCTGCAGTTCAAACCGAGCATCAGTATGGGGAAGAAAGGTGATTTGAGTGACTTTGAACGTGGCATGATTGTTGGTGCCAGAAGGGCTGGTCTGAGTATTTCAGAAACTGCTAATCTACTGGGATTTTCACGCACAACCATCTCTAGGGTTTACAGAGAATGGTCCGAAAAAGAAAAAACATCCAGTGAGCAGAAGTTCTGTGGGCGGAAATGCCTTGTTGATGCCAGAGGTCAGAGGAGAATGGCCAGACTGGTTCGAGCTGATAGAAGGGCAACAGTGACTCAAATAACCACCCGTTACAACCAAGGTGGGCAGAAGAGCATCTCTGAACGCACAGTACGTCGAACTTTGACGCAGATGGGCTACAACAGCAGAAGACCCCACCGGGTACCACTCATCTCCACTACAAATAGGAAAAAGAGGCTACAATTTGCAAGAGCTCACCAAAATTGGACAGTTGAAGACTGGAAAAATGTTGCCTGGTCTGATGAGTCTCGATTTCTGTTGAGACATTCAGATGGTAGAGTCAGAATTTGGCGTAAACAGAATGAGAACATGGATCCATCATGCCTTGTTACCACTGAGCAGGCTGGTGGTGGTGGTGTAATGGTGTGGGGGATGTTTTCTTGGCACACTTTAGGCCCCTTAGTGCCAATTGGGCATCGTTTAAATGCCACGGCCTACCTGAGCATTGTTTCTGACCATGTCCATCCCTTTATGGCCACCATGTACCCATCCTCTGATGGCTACTTCCAGCAGGATAATGCACCATGGCACAAAGCTCGAATCATTTCAAATTGGTTTTCTTGAACATGACAATGAGTTCACTGTACTAAAATGGCCTCCACAGTCACCAGATCTCAATCCAATAGAGCATCTTTGGGATGTGGTGGAACGGGAGATTCGCATCATGGATGTGCAGCCGACAAATCTGCGGCAACTGTGTGATGCCATCATGTCAATATGGACCAAACTCCCTGAGGAATGCTTCCAGCACCTTGTTGAATCTATGCCACGAAGAATTGAGGCAGTTCTGAAGGCAAAAGGGGGTCCAACCCGTTACTAGCATGGGGTACCTAATAAAGTGGCCGGTGAGTGTATATATATATATATATATATATATATATATATATATATATATATATTTATTGTATATATATACAAAAATCTACAAAGTCAGCAAACTTTTATCCTAACCATCATATCCTTTTTTTGAGCATGTGAATGTGTAGATAGCAGCTTAACGGTCACTCACACACACACCACACAAACAATGTTTGGATTTTGTCACGATTGTGAACTATTTAGCCACTGTCATTCATGATGCATTGAGAATTGCCATAGTTACTCACATCATCCTTCAGGGAGAAAACTGGACAATGTAATGCGTTTTGTCGCCTTTTCTACATGTAAAAACACTAAGGAAGCAGGTTGAGGGGGGTGATGAGAATTTATACAGCAGTCAGTGTTATCTTACATTTGATTACCTTTTTCAATTTCTGTATCTGAAAACTACTGTTAGACCAACCTGAAAAGCACAGTTTATTTCAAATATATATTGTTTTTGTTGTATACATGTTATGTATGTGTTATGCATGTTAAATGTTAAATGGATCCAATCCATGTTCATTGAAGATGATTTGATGATGTGTCATAACGTCATAACATGTCATAACATGATGCAGAAATAAACTAGCTAGTCTATCTTAATGCATGCGTTTTTGAACTTTCCTATTTAAAACATTTATCCATTTTAATTGTTGTTTGTTAAAATCAGTATCGGACAAAAAAATACTATTGGTGCTACTATCCCTAATATATACAGTACCGGTCAAAAGTTTGGAAAAATTACTATTTTTAATGTTTTTGAAAGAAGTCTGTCATGCTCAACAAGGCTGAATTTATTTGATCATAAATACAGAAAAACAGTAATATTTTGAAAAATTATTCATTTAAAATATTAGTTTTCTATGTTAATATAACTTAAAATCTAATTCTGTGATGCAAAGCTGAATTTTCATATATATATATATATATGAAAATTCAGCTTTGCATCACAGAATTAGATTTTAAGTTATATATATATATAACGCATTTGCTGAAAATGTAATGGCTGTACATTCATGATGTGAATCTCCCATTCCAGCACATACCAAAGCTGCTCTACTGGGATTGAGATCTGGTGACTGTGGAGGCTATTTGAGTATCATGAACTCATAGTCATGTTCAAGAAACCAGTTTTTGAGCTTTGTGACATGGTGCGGTACACTGCACCATGCAGTGTACACTGGTATGGTACACTGTGGTCATAAAGGGATGGACATGGTCAGCAACAATACTCAGGTATAGGATGTGGTGTTTTAAAGTAACACCATGTAACTTTTGCTCTCGGGGTCCCCCTACAGTTGGGAAACAGTATTGTCTTCTACTACTGTCGTTAAATCTGTCATGGTTACACGTGCATTTGTTTACAAGCCGAAACCCCCAAACTCTGCAGTTCTCACGTCTTGGGCAGACTGCCCTCGTTGTGTGTGAAATGTCTTCATCCCAGGTACAGTGGCATATATTTCAGCATGTCATATGAATATAATTTCATGGGTTTTATCTTTTTCAAACGCCAAAAGATCGCGTAGCTCACGTTTACAAGCCAGCGTCATTATAGTAACCTATTGCCGATTGTTTTACAGAATGGATATGCTAATTCAATTCAATGTTTGTGTGGTAGGTAATAGGCATATATCGTCAATATTATAATATCAAGCTACCATAGATGAATCTGCAAATTTGAAAAATCGATTTGCATTATAGCCTGAGGCAAGACACTTTCACCAAAAAATAAATAAACAAACATGACTATCAGCCTGCAGTCATTAGGATAGTTATCCTAAAAGATGATTTTGTCTGTCTAATCATGTATTATTTACTTGCAAGAATGTAGCCCCTACCAAACTTGTACACGCCGTTTAGACATAGGCTTACTTATGACTTTTTTTTTTTACCTAAAAAATAATACACTACTCCAACATTAGACACCCCTCCTCCTCCTTTAGCTCACGCCAGCGAGCGAACGCTGGACCAATATTGATCCTCGTCCAGCCTTTGATTCTATCACTCTCCCTTTTTCTCTTTCTAGTCTCCTCCGACAAAACCTTCGCCTTCTTTGGTTTAGTTGCTGCTTCGGCCATGATGATGATGAATCATGACAACAACATCCGGCAAACAAACGATAGTTGGGCTCTCACGTCCGAATTTGAGAAAGTGGGGGGTAGTGGGGGAAGTGAGAGATGCCGTAAAGCAGTCGAATTTTGTAGTTCCTTTTGTTACTACCCGAACCCTGAAGTTACGTAGTGCAAGTAAAAGCGATACAGACCCCGTCAGGCTATGGCAGACGTGTCATTCAACCTATTGTAAGTCGATGTACCATCACAAGGGTTTTGGAAATATATTATGAAGGTTGAAAAACTACATAGTGTTGCTAGCCTGGGTTTCCCCATACTGCCTTGCTGCAGCGTGATTTTATTCACGCTGCTAGGTAGTCTGGATACCATGGACCAAATTTTCGCCTCATCTAGGGAACCAATCACAGAACGGGGAGGGAGCAGCAAGACGATGACGACGTCTATGCGACACACCGAAGCAGTTTGTTTATACCTATGGATCCAACATGGCAGCAGACGCGAAGTTACCTTTCGATGCAGCCTTTACAGCCGTTTCACACCGCAAGCGGCACTTGAGCAGCGCGTCAGCGCAACTACATCGTCACTGCAGCTGCAGACGCGCGAGAGTATTCACACTGGAAGCGTTTGTACAGTGTCACAGCAGTGGCTCCAAAGCTACATATATAAGCGAGCAATTCTTTACAAAGACAACTATCCATTTGTTTTTAGAAGTTGGTCTAAATAACTAAATAACTCATAAATTACCAATAACTTGGTCATTTATAACATTGATAGTCTTGAAAGTTTGTAATGGGGAGGTGTACAACATTCGCATATAAATGTTAAACAAAAAAACAACCCAGAAAATAGCTCCAATCTATTAGTTTCAGTCATACTTTCGATATGTTTACAAGACTGCAACTAAAACGATTTGGGTTGTGCTAGCCTATAGCTGTCTGTATGTTACATAAACTAAAAGAACGTTTATATATAATATTTTCTGGCTAGTTTACTTTAGTTTATTTTTTTTATATAATACACAACTTTCACCCAAACTGAATAATTAAAAACAAGTTTTTACCGGGTAGCCTAAATCTTCTATAAATATTTTTGAGTCTTCATTTTCTTTTATTTGCCTACTCAAGTTCATGTTAAAACTCACTAGACATCATTTTGGGAACTTGTTGTGTGAAATCATATTTATTTGTGTCCATCAAAAGTGTGCTTTTGCATAACCGGCACATCTCTGCGCCGAAACCCCCGCTTCACTGCTGCTCACGCGTCGCTCCTGCTCCCGGTGTTAATACACTCATTGATTAACATGCACGGCGAAAAAAATACGCGCCGCTCACGGATGCGGTGTGAAACGGCCGTTAGATACACGCCATCGTGTACACATAAATCTCTGACCCATCGTCTTCTTCCTCGTCTAATTTCTGTCGCTCTACATACGCCATCTGGTATAATTGAAACGGTTGGCTATGAGCTACGTACAGGCGCATTTGATAGACATTCTTAGCACCCAATAAACGGCTCTGGGCATTCGTAAACCACGCCTCAAATACGAGAAAATGAACATGTGGTTCACAGACCCAAGTCTCAATGAGACTTGGGTCTGACGTTAGCCAGGCTATAGTGTTGCTTTAATGATGCTCAATTGGTACTAAGGGGCCCAAAGTGTGCCAAGAATATATCCTCCACACCATTACACAAGCAACAGACTGAACCGTTGATACAAGGCAGGATGAATGCATGCTTTCATGTTGTTTACCCCTAATTCTGACCCTTTCATCTCAGTGTCGCAGCAGAAATCGAGACTCATCAGACCAGGCAATGTTTTTTCCAATTTTCTATTGTCCAATTTTGGTGAGCCTTTGTGAATTGTAGCCTCAGTTTCCTGTTTTTAGCTAACAGGATTGGGTCCAGTGCGTCTTCTGCTGCTGTAGTCTTGATCTGGTTCAAGGTTGGATGTGCGTTCAGAGATGCTCTTCTGCATATTGCAGTGGTTATTTGAGTTACTGTTGCCTTTCTATCAGCTCGAACCAGTCTGGCCATTCTCCTCTGACATCTGGCATCAACAAAACATTTTCGCCCACAGAACTGCCGCTCACTGGATATTTTCTCATTTTCAGACCATTCTCTGTAAACCCTAGAGATGGTTGTGTAGGATTACAAATTGACCGTTCGCAAAAGCCACGCCCCCTAGTTATTGTTACTACGCCCGTCAAACAAATGGTCAAACACGACCAGCGCGACAGATTACCATGACGGGAAGAGGTATACCCGTGCGTGTCAGTGACCTTTTTTGGAGCAATACTCAGCGATATCCTCCAGATCGAGGCACAAGGGGTTACAGTATGCAGTGGAGGGATATATTCAAAATATAAAAATACGCAATGAAGGAGACACGACTACTATCGAGGCGAAAGCTTATACCGGTCTCAAGCTAAATCTGAGAAACCCCATGACCTGTACCTCAAATGCAACCAGCACAGTCTTGAAGAAGATTTTATAAGCTGGTTCAGTGGCTAATGTTTGGAGTTAGAAATATATAACTCGCGCTGCATATTTAGTCATTTTGCCTCAGATACATTCGCTTTAACAACCAGTTGTTCATTACCACGGCAACCGCTTGCGTGTCATGCTAAATGCAATTTTCGTGTTTAAAAAGTAACTATACATAAGAGACGGAAAGATGCAGATAACCATACATTATTTAAGGTTATTTCTATTCGTTACGATATTGATATATGAACTGAAGTTGTCAAGTAAGCTTCATGCTTTCCCCGTCGCGAGCGTACACTCCTCTAAACTGTAGCTAACGTTACGGGTGCTGCAATGTTGACTGCTGCTCATTTTCCCCCGAGAATATCATGTTAACAACAACCCTTTAGAAAACGTAATTCCTTTGTGGATCCTCTTGATCTGCTTTCTCCATGTTTCTTTGACTAATCTCAGTGTCTCAGTCTCACGCACGCTGCACGCGAGTTAACCATGTTCGACACATTTAACTGGGAGTGGGGCCGTCCACACTGTTTTTATCCATTGTAGGCACCGCTCACGTTGTGTTTTCGGCTTTGGAAACGGAAAGAACACAACTCCTCCAGACAATCTCTCGGGGTATCTAGTGTCCGATTTACAAACGCGTGGGCGCACCGCTTCACCATCTTGCTTGGAGTCAATGTTTGACGGACCTGCTCACATAGTAACGGTTGCTATGATGTGTGATTGGACAATGGGCGTTTTGTGGGAGGAGCCTGCGAACGGTCAATTGATTTAAATGTTTAATTTAGGTTCCAGTACAATAGTATATAAAACTGAGAAAGTTCTGTAGATTGAATTTAGCATTCAGCTGTTGAGCACGAGATTCCTGTCCTGTTCTGTTTCTCTCTATACAGCCGCCAGACCTGTTTCTCTCTATAGTAAGTTAAATGAAACAGATTACTGAAACTCTTGGGGACTCTCGTGAGCTTTTGTCTCAGCAACAGAGAGTCCTGGCATTCCTGTTCTTGAGTCTCAGTGTTTGAATAAGTTATCACTCTCAGTTTCAATACAGGTTTCCTAAACCTGTATATGAGTTTGCTCCACCTCTATGTAAATCCCTCCCCCTAAATGTATAAATTGCAATGTAAAAGTTCCCTTAGTCAGACGAGATTGAGATGCTACAGCGACGCAATAAAGAACTTCTGCTTGAAAGATACCTAAACGTCTCCTGGTCTGCGCTTCTGACTTTTCTACACTTTAGAAGAAAATAGTTCACAACAGTTGTGCGTGAAAATCCCAGTAGATCAGCAGCCTAAATGCATTGAGATACTGCCATGTGATTGGCTGATTAGATATTTGCCTTAACGAGCAGTTGAACAGTTGTGTCTAATAAAGTGGCCAGTGTGTCTGTGTGTATGTACAAATATCTCACCCCACTCAGGGTTCTTTGGTTTCTGCAGGAGTCGAGGGCCGAGCAGGCTGATGACAAGCGCTCCAATAGGAGCAGTGATGAGAATGGACAGCACAGCCACAGTGAGGACATCCATGCCGTACTTCTGCAGCTCAAGATCATTCTTGGAGCGTGCCATGTCTAGAGCTGTAGAGCCTATGGCAGCCTGAAACCAATGACATAACGGGATTGCTCTGTTAGGAACTTAGAAATGCATTTCATTTTTATTTGTCATTTAGCTCACTCTTGTCCAAAGAAACAGAAGGAATGGGTGGAGGATAAAGACAATAAGACAAAAGTAAAATAGAAGGTCTATTTGTTATACTAGGCAATTTTACCTGTACTGTGGCTTTCGGCATCCAGGCTAGAGCGATAAAGATTTTCTCTTTCAGGTTAAAGCCAGCTCTCAGTACCGAAACAAAAGCGATGAGCAGCCGTACCGTGAGTGCGATGAGCAGAGCTGCTATACCCAGAACTGAGGACATATTACATTAGAGAAGATCAACTGCATGTTGGAAACACTACACATGTGCAAATGTGCACACTGCTTACATCCCAGTTTCTTTAGGGCTTTTCACACTGCGCCTTAATCCCGGGTTATCGTCACTGCTTAGCAACCGACAACCAATCGCGTTCCCTATATTCACATGCTTTGGACTGTCACAGACACACTGCATGTTGTATAAAAAGCAGTTTCAGCATTTGAAGGAAAAATTTTAAATGGTCATGGAAAAGGTGCCAACTGGAGAGAAGAAAAGGCCGTTTCATTCTTACCTTTATAAGTCAGGAAAAATTAACAGGCAAACAGGTCACATGCTCTGTTCGTCCAAACAATGACATTGTCACCATTAATATGCAAATAAGAATTTAGGAATATATAGTGTGAAACGTCCATTTATTAATACCCAGGATTAATTGTTAACCCTGGGTAATTTATGAGCAACGTGAAGTGTGAAGCAAGATAACCCAGGATTCTGTTTACCTGGGGTTTAGAATGACCCAGGGTTAAAGGGATAGTTCACAAAACATTTTTTAATTGTCATTATTTACTCACCCTTCACGTAGTGAAACTGCGCAAAGCTTCTGTGTTGTACGTCACACGTAGGCTCACGATTGGCCGACGTTGGTTATGTGTGTGATGCGTGTGACGTACAACCTAGAAGCTTTGCGTAGTTTCACTACGTGAAATCTCACGGCCCACAGAGAAGGAAATGAATAGTTGAATTAAGTCGTTAGTCACTTGGACTATTTTAACGATGTCTTTAATAACTTTTGGGCTGGCAAGTTTCGATCTCTTTAGAAGCCTATGGAGGAGTGAGACAGCTCTCAGATTTAATCAAAAATATCTTAATTTGTGTTCCGAAGATGAACGAAAGTCTTACGGGATTGGAACAACATGAGGGTAAGTAATTACTGACAGAATTTTCATCTTGGGGTGAACTAACCCTTTAAGTTCTTCCAAACATGTATGAATTTCTTTCTTCAGCTGAACACAAAAGAAGATATTTTAAAGAATATGGGTAACCAAACAGTTGATGAAAAAAAAAAAACTATGGACTAATCAAACGGTTGATTACCGACATTCTTCAAAATATCTTCTTTCATGTTCAGCAGAGGAAAGAAATTCATACAGGTTTTGAACAACTTGAGGGTGAGAAATTGATGACAGATTTTTTTTTTTTTTTTTACTATCCCTTTAACTACTTCAAGTGTGAAAAGCCTTTTGGAGTGTTTCCCAATCATCTCTGTTACTTAAACAGCACAGACACTCACACACAGTCGTGACCTCCAAAGTACTAATAACAATCTCAGCACCAATGAGACCAAAAAGAAGAGGCTGAAACACATGCCAAAACCTTTCCACCACCTCCTCCACGGGTCCCTGAAACACACATACACAGAGAAATCAAACATGTGATGTTAGAAAACGTGTTGTCACACTCTTATATTTTATAATTCTAATACTTGCCGTTGTTGTGAAAAAATGTGAGTGTGTATAAGGCCATGTTTACACGGAAACGATCTGAAGAGAAAAGTGGCGTTTCGTTTTCACTTTTTATTCTGCGTTTAGACGAGCGTTATGGGGGGGGGGATCTGCGTGCATATGGAGACGCAAAAGTGTTAGAAATGCGATGTAGTATGCACTCCAGGCGGCTAGGTGGCAATGTGAAGCACTGCCACACAACAACAACAAGTCCGTGCGCCTGCGTACAACCTTCCTTCTACTTCTCTCCCTAGTAGCGCGAAATTGAAAAGACTCTTGGACGTTTATCAGAGCTGCTAGGGCAACTTGAAGGTCCGACGTATGGAAATAATCCGACATGTTGGTTGTTATTTTCCTGTACTGGCGCATGCCTGTGACGTAAATGCGTACGCGACGAGAGCCGCCATGAGCAGATTTGCGTTTTTACCCGTTTAGACGGAAACGCGACGGTGGAGCGTTTTTAAGATTTCCACTTTGGAGGGTGGTTTCACTTTTTTGCGTTTTTAAGCCCCAAAAACGCCGTCGCCGTGTAAACGAAAGGCACATCCCATAAAATATTATTACGTTTTCACCCGGAATCGTTTTCGTGTAAACAGGGCCTAAATATGCGAATGAGAAAGAAAGTAGTCAAAACTCTCTTCTCTTTCACAGCTATTTTTGATATTTTAGTAAAAATTGTGTGTTTGGGAGAAGAGATTCAGACCTTATCTTTTCCCCAGCCTATTCCAGCCACAAACGCCAGCACCAGTGTACAAAGACCTCCTGCGCCAGGAATTCCGGCCACATTACTGCCAAACAATGCAAACACAGACAGCCCCAACACCAGAAACGAACGTTTCAGCACAAGGTTCCCCTATGTGGAAAGACAAAACACACAAATCATCAACAATCATGAAACCTGTTACCCCTGACAACATCAACTCCACATCAGGTTTTGAATTCAACATGACCTTCATAATCATAAAGTTGCTGCTCACGTACCTGGTCTCTGCTGGGGAAGTAATGTAGAAAGTACCCTAAGGCCACACCAGCGACGGCACCACCTAACACCTCCAGTGGTCCTCTCAGCACATTTAACCACACGGCGCCTGCAGAGGGCAACAGAGAGCACTAAGACAAACTGGACCTCTAACAACAAAGAAATCCATAAAACCTTTATATCCTTAAAGCTGCAGTCCGTAGCTTTTTTAAGTTAAAAATAATCCAAAATAATTACATTAAAAAAAACTTATTCTGCCAGTGGTCAAAACTATCTGCTTGTCATAGCTAGATTCAAAACGGTTAGCTTGTAATAATGATTTTAATTCCAGTGGTACTGGTGGGTTTCCGCGGGAAATTCGAGCATGTCTTTGCGTCATTACGTCACACCCGTACACATAAAGAAGGAGTTTCAGCTAGCAGGCTATACTGCGCGTGACGAGATGTTTAGATGTATAGGCTTTTCTCGCAGCACTTTACATAATTAAACTTATGGCATCCAGAAAGATCCAAACAACAATCAGTGTCAACTGGAGATTCAGCAGTTATAAAACCCAAAAGACTTCGTACTTCGGACTTAAGGTGGCTAGAGAAAGAGAAAGAAACCGTCTCATGCGAACACAAGGATTTAAACATCGGCGGGGCTTTTGAAAAGTGCGTGAACTCCGTGTTTTGAAGGGGTTCAAAACGGAAGAAGAGACGGCCTTTTTCTGCTGAACAAGTAAGACATTTCAATAGTTCAATCGTGTAACAGTACGTTTTCTTAATTCACACAGTTATGGAGTTTCCTTTGTTGTGCCTTTCTCGTTTTGCTATTATGGAGAATCTGAATTCTGAACTACACAGGTAACCATAAAACACATTAAATTTAACATTAGTCACGCAATGCTGATGTTGTTAACATGAACAATTTGAGAACAAAGTAGGCTATAATTTGCACGGTTGCTGTAAATCACGTTGATTAAATCTAACGAAGCTTATCATGTCGAATGCTTTTTCCCCCTTAGTTGGTCAGAACAAAAATGTATGTTACTTACTTGTTCAGAAGACATTTTCTTATGAAAATTCTTATGTTGGTCAAACTTTCAAAAAGTGAATCTGTGATTCTGTATGACAGTATCCACACAGCGCGGTGACTGACAGCAGCACTCGCCTCAAAGCACTGTGTTCATCCGCGCTGTTTCATGCCGATTTACAACCCACGTAAAGATGATATTTCCGCGAATCACTGCAGTTACAGATTTCGAACAGAGATGGCGACAAAGAGGAAAAGCTACGGACTGCAGCTTTAAATAGGGCTTTTTTTTTAGGGAACAGACATTTGTAGTGGTGTCCGAAACCATAGTGGATGTTATCGAGTGCACTCATTCAATCCCACAATGCACCTGAATAACAAGTGTACAACCGATGTACGCTCAATGGCTAGAGAATACCCATAATGCAATGTGAGAGTCACGTAAAATGAATTCCTGTGTCTCGCCAGAAGATGGTGCCAGCAACTGAATCATCCATCTATTTTCCAAACCACTGGTCCAATGTGGGTACAGCATAATATCAAACAGGTACCTTTTTAACTGATTATTATATTGTTTAATAAAGATTTATGCATAGTTCCCATGATCTTTTCATCACTACTGGAGCTGCAGTTTGCCCAGTTTCAAATGATTATTAAACAGCAAGCACAAGCTACGCAAAAGCAGCAGCCCTTTCGGTGCACTCAGTGGCCAAATTTGCTCACTTGTTTTCGCTCACTCCTATATCAGTGGACTAATGCAGGGAATAGTGAATGAGGGTATAATGGGCGATTTCAAACACAGCCCTGGAGAAAGGGCACTATCAAAGAAGTATCTAAAAAACATGTTCAGAAACATTTACATTTGTATGCGTTAATATACAAAATGTACAAATTCGTATACATACACTATTAAAAGTGTGGGGTCAGTTTTTTTAAAAGAATGTCATATTTTAATCCATTAAATTGTTCAAAAGTGACAGCAAAGACATAACTGTTTGAAAAGATTTTGCAAAATAAATGCTGTTCGTTTGATCTTTCTACTCTTCAAACACTCCTGAAAAAAAAGTAACATGGTTTCCTGAAAAAAAAAAAAAAATACTCATGCATAGAAAAAAAAGAAGAAGAAATGTTTTCCGATCACCAAATCAACATATTAGAATAATTTTTTTTGAAGGATCATGTGACACTGTTTCCTGAAAATTCAGCTTTGCCAGCACAGGAATAAATGACATTTAAAAAAAAAATGTTTTAAATAATAATAAAAACGTTTTTACAATATTACTGTTTTACTGTGTTTTTGATTAAATAAAAACAGCCTTGGTGAGCATACGAGACTTTTCTTTCACAACTATTTAATACCAACCCCAAACTTTTGAATGGTTGTGTAAATGCAAAGTATTTTTTAGAATGTAGCACAATGCCGTCTATTCTAAACATGTTCTGTGCATCTAAAAGCGCTTTGAATTCCTCTGTAAGACTCTGTGGTTAAATTATTGATATCATGTCAAAAATCTCTTGCTGTATTAATTTAATTTAACTTAGGAATACCCTATATATATATATGCTACATTTAGTCTTTTGGCGTACCTGTGGCGAAAGCTATGCCCAGGCAGGTGGTGAAGCAGGTAATGGCAATGATGTCATCAACGCTGCATGCTGCCATGAGAAGAGTAGGTATACCCTGCTCTAAACCGTACCCATCCTTATGCAGAAGCAGGATGGACGGAACCACAACAGCAGGAGAAACAGCCCCGAGAACAAACCTACAGAGCAGAAAATCAGAGCTATTGAGTTGGTAACAGCAGACCTTTCAGAGAGGTTCTTATCTTATCAGAAACAGCGCTTTACCCTAAAATAAAGCCCCAGATCCATGGAAGTCCCAGTATTAAATAGGAGACCACAGCCATAGTGGTTGCCTCGCAGGTGAGAGGGAACATGGACAAACGTAAACACACAGCTTTCAGCTTCTTCAGAGCCTGAAACACACATAAAAGTATTATGTTAGTACAAAACAATTTAGTGAAAGCAATTTTTCTTACTGTACAACCTTCATTAAATGAAAAGTCTTAAAAAAACAATTGTGTTGGCTGAACTTTGAAAGAGTATGAAGGCAAATCTTCTCAGGCCGATGCAGTTTCACACCTTGCCGTCTAATTGCAAACCAGCCTTGACCAGAATGACACCCAGGGCGATGTTCCTCAGAGAAGCAGACCATCTAACATCAATGTAAACCGCATCTGTCACCACAGGGATGTTTCTGAGGATGAAGCCTGCCAGCAGCATGCCTGCGGACACACACAGAGTGAAATAACACAAACAGAAATCCCATAGTTATTCATAACACTGACAATGAAACTGACCACTTTGTCAATACAGGAAAAAAGAATAACACAGTGTGTTTATCTTTGAGCTGAGGGGGAAATTAAATTATACACTACCGTTGAAAAGTGTGGGGTCTGTAGAGCATGTAGAGTAAAAAAAAAAAAAAAAACTCATACCCATCGAGGCTGCATTCTGTTTTTAACAAAAATAAACAAAATAATATTGTGAAATATATAAAAAATATATAGAGAGAATTTCAGCAGCTATTACTCCAGTCTTCAGTAGCTATTTCCATCCAAAGTTGCGAATTTAACTTGTGAGCAAAATTGGAATATCGCATTAAACATTTGTGAATAAAGCACTGTTTCAATCCCATGTGTTCGAGTGAACAAAATTGTCACTTTCTGGGACATTGGCGCAAAATATCTGTAATAAAATCAGAAGTTCCTGCAAACGAGGAAGTCTGTGGCTCTTTTTTTGTACATTATAAATGACTTGCACCTCGAAAATAAACACGGTCATGTTATCTTGCGTTCGGAGGCGGATGCCTGATGCTTGGGATCACAATTGTGTGAGACAGGGAGGTAACTATACCCAACTATTTTGATAACAGACTTTGGCTCAGGTGTTTCAGAATAACAAAACAAAACCAACTTTTGTGATGCTGTGCAAATTACAGTAAATTAATCAGCTGGTTAGTCCAGAGTTTGTTTGTTTTTGCACATTGAGGGATTTATTCAGTAAATGTGTTTCCATCGTAGTTTATGCGCATGTCTCCTTATTGGATCAAAAAACGATCCGCCTCAACTGAGCACAGATAAGTTTGTATGCATATTTAGAGAATTTATGCACATTTCCATCCAGCATTTCTTAATGCGATAACCCAAAATTCATTAAATGAAATGCATGAAATAATGGAAACATAACTAGTGTCACATGATTCGGTGCTCAAGAAACATTCTTTATTGTTATCAATGTTTAAAACAGTTGTGATGCTTAATATTTTTGTGAAATCTACAATACATTTATTTTAGGATTTTCTGATAAATAGAAAGTTCAAAAGAACAGCATTAATTTAAAATAGAAATCTTTTGTAACATTATAAATGTCTTTACTGTCAATTTTGATCTAAATAGTACATCCCTGCTGATTAAAAGTGTAATGTCTTAAAAAATGTAATACAATTTTACTGACCCCATACTTGTACAATGTACAAGTATGGGGTCAGTAAAATTGTATTACATTTTTAACTTTCAAATAAGTAGAAGATTAAGAAGTAGAAATTCAGAATTAAGGTTCTTATCCAAGTAAGCATCAGAAAGACTTTTTTTTTAATTCACTACGGAAATATTGTGATTTATAAAAATAACAGGTAGTATACAGTATATGCTGTGAAGTATGCAGTAGGTTCAATTTCCATCCCTAACATAGACATGATTTTCTTAAGATGCAGTTACATTTACCAAGACTTTACGGTCGAGATCTAGTCATTTCTATATGAATCTGTGCAATTGCAGTTTTTCGTGAGGGCACTTCACTACTGACCATGGACCTTTCTGTTACGAAGCATAGGAGACGTTCAGATCCAAGTGCAGCTTGTCCTTTATTTAACAGAGTAGTCACCAGGCAAGGGTCAAACACCAGCAAACACAGCAGAGAAGATCAGGCAAAATCGTGGTCAGTAAACAGGCAGGATATCAGGGCAGGCAGCAAACAGGAAGGATACAGGAACCAGGCAGAAGATCAGGAACAGACAAGGTCAAAACAGGCAGGAATATACATGGGAAAACGCTTGGAAATGTTCGCAGCAGCAAAACAAGACTTCGCGGTGAGTGAATGAATGAGCATGGTATATATGGACTGAGACTAACAGGATGATGACACACAGGTGAATGCAATCAGAGAATGAGGTACAGGTGATTGTGATCAGTGATGAGTCCGGGCAGTGAGTTATGGGAAATGTAGTCTGTGAGTGAACGTGAGAGTCTGATGTGGAGTCCCCTCTGGTGGCTCTCAAGGGCACTCCAGCTGGTAACCGTTACATAGCCCCCCCTTTAAGGAGCGGATTCCAGACGCTCCTCAAATTGTCCAGGAGGGAGGTGGAGCGGAGGCGGACCTGGGGGCGGGATGGAGGGCCAGGCCCATGGAGCGGAAGAGGACCTGGAGACTGCGGCAAGACTGGAGACCAGGGCGGAGCAGGCAGTGCAGGCGACCAGGGCGGAGCAGGCTGTGCAGGCGACCAGGGCGGAGCAGGCTGTGCAGGCGACCAGGGCGGAGCAGGCTGTGCAGGCGACCAGGGCGGAGCAGGCTGTGCAGGCGACCAGGGCGGAGCAGGCTGTGCAGGCGACCAGGGCGGAGCAGGCTGTGCAGGCGACCAGGGCGGAGCAGGCTGTGCAGGCGACCAGGGCAGAGCAGGCTGTGCAGGCGACCAGGGCAGAGCAGGCTGTGCAGGCGACCAGGGCGGAGCAGACAGTCCATCGGGCGGCCAGGGCGGAGCAGACAGTCCATCGGGCGGCCCAGGCGGTGAAGACCCTTCGGGCGGCCACAGCGGTGAAGACCCTTCGGGCGGTGAAGACCCTTTGGGCGGCCACGGCGGTGAAGACCCCTCGGGCGGCCACGGCGGTGAAGACCCCTCGGGCGGCCACGGCGGTGAAGACCCCTCGGGCGGCCACGGCAGTGAAGACCCCTCGGGCGGCCACGGCGCAGGAACAGGCACCGGCTGAGGAACAGACACCGGCTCAGGAACTGGAACAGACTCTGGCTCTGGCTCAGGAACAGGAACAGACTCTGTGACGACGGCCATCTTGTCCGTAGACACTGGCTCGGAGGCGGCCATCTTGTCCGTAGACACTGGCTCGGAGGCGGCCATCTTGTCCGTAGACACTGGCTCGGAGGCGGCCATCTTGTCCGTAGACACTGGCGTGGAGTCGGCCATCTTGTCCGAAGACACAGGCGTGGAGTCGGCCATCTTGTCTGAAGACACAGGATCAGGATCAGGCTCAGGATCAGGATCAAGATTGGCAGAAGTGATGTGAAGCTCAGTCGCTGGATCGGCAGAAGTGACGTGAAGCTCAGTCTCTGGATCGGCAGAAGTGACGTGAAGCTCAGTCTCTGGATCGGCAGAAGTGACGTGAAGCTCAGTCTCTGGATCGGCAGAAGTGACGTGAAGCTCAGTCTCTGGATCGGCAGAAGTGACGTGAAGCTCAGTCTCTGGATCGGCAGAAGTGACGTGAAGCTCAGTCTCTGGATCGGCAGAAATGACGTGAAGCTCAGTCTCTGGATCGGCAGAAGTGACGTGAAGCTCAGTCTCTGGATCGGCAGAAGTGACGTGAAGCTCAGTCTCTTGCTCGGCGGTCTCTGGCGGGACGGTCTCTGCGGGATGAGACTCTGGCTGGACGGTCTCGGCAGGACGAGACCCTGAAACAATGGCCCTCTTGGCACCACGTGCAGACATCAGCGGGGAATCTGCCACGCTGGAAACCAGTCCTGGGCGGCCATAGACCGATCTGGTGGCAGGCTTTATGGTTGGTGTGACGTGGAGAAACTCAGGCTCGTCGTGGCTGACGTGAAACTCAGGCTGAGGGGATACTGTGGGTTCACGGAGTTCCTCATCTACCACACCCACCGTATACACTGAACCGCTTAACAGAAGGGCCAGTTCAATATAGCTCTCTAATGTCCCGTGAGGGTCATGCAAGGGCATGAATGAACTGAGCGGTTCAGATAGTCCTCCTCGGAAAAAGATCATCTGGCACTCTGTGTTCATTGAGGTGAGATGTGCCAGTTCAATAAACTCCGCGACATAGTCTTCAATGGACCGATTCTCCTGACGGAGACGCATGATTTGGACGTCTGGACTCATAGTTGGCATCGCTGCTGGATCTCGGTGTGGCGAAGTCTTCTGTTACGAAGCATAGGAGACGTTCAGATCCAAGTGCAGCTTGTCCTTTATTTAACAGAGTAGTCACCAGGCAAGGGTCAAACACCAGCAAACACAGCAGAGAAGATCAGGCAAAATCGTGGTCAGTAAACAGGCAGGATATCAGGGCAGGCAGCAAACAGGAAGGATACAGGAACCAGGCAGAAGATCAGGAACAGACAAGGTCAAAACAGGCAGGAATATACATGGGAAAACGCTTGGAAATGTTCGCAGCAGCAAAACAAGACTTCGCGGTGAGTGAATGAATGAGCATGGTATATATGGACTGAGACTAACAGGATGATGACACACAGGTGAATGCAATCAGAGAATGAGGTACAGGTGATTGTGATCAGTGATGAGTCCGGGCAGTGAGTTATGGGAAATGTAGTCTGTGAGTGAACGTGAGAGTCTGATGTGGAGTCCCCTCTGGTGGCTCTCAAGGGCACTCCAGCTGGTAACCGTTACACTTTCCCCCCCCCCGCAAAATTTTACTAATGTGACATCACCTTAAATATGTTAAGAAATTGCTCATACCAAGAAGGGGAGGTAAAGGTGGCAGGTTCGGCAAGTGTATGCGTCCAAACAGCTTTCCCCCGGCTACGCAACAAATAAACAAGGTCACGATGCCAAAGAGGTTTCCGCCCGGGAGACATTCCTTCTCTGTAATGGACCACACCACCCCAAAGAGCACTGCGGCCATGGTCACTGCAAGAACAAACAGATACTGGGTTCAATCTACCAGCAGATAGCTTAGTAAACATAATACATTTTTATCTACCATACAGCACTGTTCAAAAGTTTGGGGTCAGTAAGATTTTTTTTTAAAGAAATTACTACTTTTATTCAGCAAGCATGCTTTACATTAATCAAAAGTAGGGGTTAAACTGATCGTAGTTGATCCGTGATCCGTACGGACCAGGCCCTCACGGTTTCACCATCAATTCAGTACTCGTGCGCTGTTATCTGTGAGCATAGCCGCACACACTCCTGAAGCGCGCACACACATAGGGGCGCGTTTCAGATAGTGCGTGAACAGCGAATTGATTACTCTTTCGCATCTCTGTGCGCTTGAACGGACACATACACACAAAACGGGGTCAAAATACCCGCCTCAGCAAGTATTGTCGTAAACAGTCGGTAAAGTCTTAAATGAACATAAACGGTTGAGAAATAAATCAAATGTGTATCATTATACTGGATCCGTGCATTCGCTCTTAAAGTGACAGCAACCTATAAATACCTGCTGCTGTCATTAAAGGCACACTGTGGAACTTTTCAACCTTTATAATATATTACCAAAACCCATTGAGATGGTACATCGACTTACAATAGGTTGAATGACACATCTGCCATAGCCTGACGTGGTCTGTATCGCTTTTCCTAGCACTATGTAACTTTGGGTTTCGGGTAGGAACCCGAGCACAAAAAGAACTACAAAATTCGACCGCTTTACGGCATACGTCACTTCCCCCACCACCCCAACTTCCTCAGATTCTGACGTGAGTGCTCAACTCGCGTTTGATTGCCGTCTGTATGTTTTCGTCATGGCCGAACCAACAGCTACAAGGAAGAAGGCAAAGGTTTTGTCAGAGGACACTAAAAAAAAGAAAAAGGCATAGTGACAAATGAAAAGCCAGGACGAGGATCACCATTGGTCCAGCGTTCGCTCGCTGGCGTGAGCTACAGGAGGAGGATGGGTGCCCGACCGATGCTGACGCTTGCCTGCACACAAATGCCGTTTCCAAGGTGACCCAGATAAATCATATAAGCAGTGTAGTATTTTCTGGTATTCCGGCCACAGCCGATGGTGTTATGAGTGTAATAAAATGCCCACAGCCCATTGTTCATTTCTACACACAAACACAGCCCGCCACAGTGCAGGGCTCGAACAAATAAAATCGACTCATGTCAAATGTACATTAAATGTAGTGAACGTTCCCACGACTCAGTGCCCACAAACACTACACACAACATGTCCCACGGTTTCTGTAAAACGAAACCAACACACATAAGTTACAGTCAGCTCAGGCCGACGGTGTTTTTAGTGCAGTAAATGTGCCCGGCCCGCCGTCCCGCACCCACATTCACTCACAGACATGTTAGCACTAAGCCGCTCGCTCTCTCTCAGCAGACTGCTATAAGGGAATCGAGCGCGGCCAGGCTGCCCGCCTCAAACACTGCAAGCACACACAATCTAAAGACACGGGAAGCTGACCCACTGTCTATGGGCTGACCGGTTGACTGTTTGTTGACTTTTGCGACAGTGCTGCGGAGCTTGTGGCCTCTAGGGACGCTAGACGTGAAAGTTACAGGTCGAGCGCCACTATTGGCCAAAAGTTCCGCAGTGTGCCTTTAATGTTACCGTATTTTTCAGATGTTTTTTCTTAGAAATACATCTGAAAAACCAGGTTTGTCTTATATTCAGGGTTTAGAATTTTATGTCAATAATACAGCTGCAACTATAGGTGGCGCCAAATACATGTAAAATGAGTGTGCCAAGAAATACGGTGTCAGAGTGTCATATTAGATGATCGCGAGCGCAAAAAGTCACAAACAGTCAAAGAAAAGCTTACCTAGCCGTGTGACTGTCATGTTTGCATGCCTCGCTGACGTATATGATTTTAAAATGTAAGACGGTACCCTGATTTCAAAACTAATAAGATTTCACTTCTACTGTTAATACAATTTTGGTAGGCTACATGGTTTTCACTATGAGATAGTTAGCCTAATTGTTATATAATTCAGATGGGCTACAGCTTAGTTTTATGGTATTCCATTTTAAACGTGATCGTTAGTACATTTGACCAGTATTTACCATACTTTCAATACAAAAAATGAAATATGAAAAATATGCAGTATGAAAATTATTTTTAAATCAAAGCATTTTTTCCAAAAGGCGCATCGTCGTCTTATAATCAGGGTCGTCTTATACTTAGAACAATACGGTAATCAGACAACAAAACACAGCTTTAACAAAGATTAATCTATATTTCATTTATACAGTGAACACTATAGTGTTATTTTACATTTAGGCCTAATTATCACATTTCTGTAACCGATTACACTACAGTTAGACCTCACTTTATTTGTAACTTTGTTATATTATATTTATCTATGCTTAAATTTTGATCTTATCTTTTTAATGACTGTTCACTTGTCTTTAATAATGTTTAAACCTTATTAGTTAGGCTAGTAGTTTTTGTGGTGGTATTGAAGTAATAAGTAATAAATGGAAAGCAAAGTTACATTTGATCAAATAAATGTAGTCTTGGTGAGCATAAAAGACTTTAAAATATATATTTTTTAAAACTTTACCGACCCCAACATTTTTGAATGGTAGTGCACATGCAATCTCTAGCATCAGGTTTTGGAAGATTATAGACTCTGTTCTAACCTTTGGTGATAACTGCAGCCAGCAGGCCTCTGGGTGGGCACGGGCATAGTCTGCGCAACCAAGGGCAGTATTCGTACGGAGGGTCTGTGTTGGTGTAAGCGTCAACTGAAGACACCGGTCGTGGGACATACGTCGTCTCCTCAGTCATACTCAGATTGGGGCTCTCTGGGCGCTTCGGAACCACAAGGACTGTCTGACTGACAATAAGGTGATGCTGTATGAGAAAATGAAGAGTGAAAAGAGAAGCAGTGATCTTAGTAGCAAAATTCATTTAATTTGAAGTCGGCAAGAAACGGAAGTTGTGATAGTCTTTCTTTCCCTATTGTGACGTATATACGAGTGAACGGCTTCTCGAACTCGAAGACAAAATGTAGGGGCGAGACTTGATTTTGTCCATCGAGAATTGATTGCATTGTCGTAAACACGTCATCAGAGAAGAGAAGATATGGTTACACTTTATTTTAAGATGATGTAGTTACTCAAATAAGTACTGAGTAATATATTAATTAACTACATGTTCTTACTATACGTTTAGGGTTTGGTTTAGGTACTTGTTATTATGCATAATTTACTGTTATTACTATAGTAAGTACATGTTGTAACGTGTACATCACCTTAAAATAAAGTGTTACCGAAAAGATGTTATTTGAATGTGGAAGGGGAAGTTATTTTGATTAGATTACGAGGGTACTAGTTGTAGTCATTAGTAATAAATACTGCAATCATTTTTCCATTAAAAATAAGAATTGTCAATTGTTGATTTCATGGTGACGTAAACCTGGATATAAACAAAGGATTTTGGGGGGGGGGGATTTTGACTGCTGTTATTAAAGGGGAACATACCAAAATACTTAAACATGCCAATGTTATTTTTTGGAATCATTTTTCCAGTCAATCAAACTGACAAATATGTAAATAACATATTGGACTTTAATTTAAAAAAGAGTGCAATATAGAATAATATATTGTCAACACTGTACACTGTCTCACTGTATTTTATCATTCATATTTGAATGTACATGGACTACTGATCTAAAGCATTAAAATGTTTGTTAATTATCTAAATTAAGGTTATTAAAAAGTATTAAATCTTTCATATTGTCCCTTAAGTCTTGAGATCAGCTGTGAGGATACATAACATGTCGGCTAGATAACAACAATAAAAGGCAACTGTCCCATTCCATAGAATCAATTTTACAGCAAAAATAGACAGCAAAAAGTGGGGAAGTCTGACAAATAACCTACTTCAGCATGATTTCCCAGGGCGGAGGGTGCATCCTCAGTCCTCTGTGAGTATGTGGAGTGAGCTGAATGAGGTCTGGACTGGGCATCCTCCATGGCACTACACTTCTGCTCTATCTTTGCTCTGGTCTTCCAGCCATTGCTGGTGCTCAAGACCGGCTCCTGTTCATTAAAACTTCACCTGTGTAAATAATTATAAATAGCTATTACTACATCAACTTATCGATAAAGCCTGCTAATGTGTAATCAATGAGGAAGTAGCCCGAGTAACGTTACTAGGAGGGAAAAGCGACTGGTTTGTTCAACAAGTTAATCGGATTGAAACAGGACTAAACGCGACGCCTGGGCCATATGGTGGTTTATGAGACTGAAGAGCGCGTGGCATATGGTCTCTGTTTATAAGACTGTAGTAAACCACTCACTGAACATCTGAGCATCACTGACATTAACGTGTTAAGTCCATTTACGCACATTTTTCTTCAACTAGTCGACTATAGTGTTCATGACTAAAGTCATATTGTTTTGCGTGATAGAGACATTGTCTTTTTCTAGTATGTGATGATTATAATTGTTGTGATCAAAAATAAATCAGTTGACTGACATGAAATGAAACAAAATCTCATGCTGAAGTGTCTGTAAGTTTGACGTCTTCAAGTGATTAACCGGCATGTGGAGAGCGAGGTCTATACATACAAAAACAAATAATATTGAAAATATGCGCGCTCGCGCTTGATCGCAAAATGCGTGGATACATTTAATAAGGTTAATCTTTTACCCGGTGGAGGCATCCGGAAGTGTGAGTGACAGATGGAAGGTGTTGTTTTACCGTTCGTCCAACCCGTCTATGGTCCAACCTATGGGTCCAACCCAAAGAAATAAAATGGTCCAATCAGTCTATCTTCACAGCCCCTTTTCTGACAAGTCCCGTCTCCTGCGCAGCATGATTGGCTAGATTTGACAGCAACGGACCAATCACAAGCCTTCGTCAAAAGACTGTTTATTATTTATGATCCCCTAATCATGCGGCATCCACGATGTTTTATTCTTTATGTGGTTCATTCTGAACATATATAAATGACACATATAATAAAACTAAAGCCAGGGGATTAATACAAAAAAAAAAAACACACTAATGGCCGGTTTCACAGACGAGCTAGTCCCAGACTAAAATGCATGAGCTGTTTTAACTGAAAGCAACTTTCCTTGACATATATTAAAATATGTTAGTGCCATTGTTTCGTCTCAAAATGCATACCATAAAGGTTTTTTTTTTTCCTAAGGCATGTTTATAAAAGCTACTTAACTGCCCTAAATGAACTCGGCCTAATCCTGTCTTAATCTAAGCCCTGTCTGTAAAACCAGGCCTAAGAGTTTTAAAGATTATTCTTTTAAATTACTAATTGTCTTTAATTATGGGTTTCAGTTTTTTTTTTTTTTAAAGCATACACACAAAACACGTAATTGACAAAATAATTTAATTACATTTGGCATATTATAATTTCTTTAACCATTATTTTGGAATTTTTGCTAATTCATTTTTAAACCAAGCTGAACATTTGATGACATGTTCAGCAATAAGTGAACTTGAAATCCAATATAGTAACACAACCCATTAATAGAATATGAAATACAGGGGTGTAATATCACATAATTTGTAGTTTATAAACTGCAAGCCTTTTAACGTCAATGACTCAATGGCTAAGAATGATTCAATATTAAATGCAATCAAGACATGGATTCACAGGACTCAGGAAGAGCCCACAGCTGCATTAACTTTTTAGATTTGGCCAGTGATAAAACATCCTCAGAGTCTCCATCCTCCATCAATGATGGCTTCTGTTCCTGTTACGTAGGCAGACTGCAGGAATAAAAATTATTTTTAAACTTGAAAGCATGAATAATAAGTGTAGAAAGACATATAAATATCCAAGTGAACAGTAAAAAAAACAACATCAGTACCAAATGTTGTGTCTTAAAATGATATCATAGAAAAGAAGAGGGTACAATGGTCAAATACTCACCTCATCTGAGGCCAGGTACACACACAGATGTGCCACTTCCTCTGCCGTGCACATTCTACCAGTCTTCTGTCTGGCCATAAAGTCTTTAAAAGCCTGAGAGTTGAAAGACAGGAACTATAAAACAAAGAGACTGAAAGACTGAACTGTGTGTTTATATGATTAGCACAGCTGTTGGTTAGTGTTTTACTGGTTATGTAAAAAATAAAAAAAATGATTTTTGTATTCAGTCAGGCAAAAAACTCTATAGTAAGGGTCTTCATTGTTCAGGTGCTAATGCCAAAAAATAGGAAAAATAAAAATATTTTCAGAGAGGCATTGTAAATGCACAAACACAATCATTCTCAGACGTTTGCAAAGAGCAGATGTGTCATGACTCATGTTATTCTGCTGACCGTTGGATCACAGAATTCAAATTCATGGTGGAAAACGTTTTACAATTTTTACAGCCCAATATTACTCATGCATCCGTATATATATATATATATATATATATATATATATATATACACATACACACAGATTGTGTGTGTATATATATATGTATATATATATATATATACACAGAATGGGTCTCATTCATGAAATATTCGTAAATATACGAGTAAATATGCGAGTGATTTGCGCGTAAAGAGACCTTCCCGAAAACTCATCTCCTGATTCACAAATACTTCGTAAACGTCAGATGTGATAGTGAAATGTGTGTGTGTGTTAATGAATTCCAATCAGTCGTAAATGGGATGCGCGTGCATGTTCATTCTCAATTACCATTAATCCCGCCCATTAAATCCGACTGACAACTATATATGGGCATCATATTACGACATGAATGCGAATGAAAAAAAAAATTCTCAGATGCAGAAATTGAAGTTTTATTATCAGAAGTTCATTCAAAACGCCACATTTTATTTTCAAGCGTACATAGTGGCGTATCGGGTCCTAAAAAAAAGGAAGCTTGGCAGCATATTACAGATGCAGTTAATGGAGTTTCATCTGTTAATCGAACATTCCCAGAAGTGAGAAGAAAATGGTTCGACATTAAGCTTGAGAGCAAAAAACGAATTAGTTCACTTCGGAAAAATAGTATTCAAACTGGAGAAGGACCACCATCGCAGCTGCTATTACTGGCTCTCATAATAAGAAAAACCGTCTGTAATTACTATATTTAATATTTTTTCAAAATGCTGTGCAAATATGTACCCGATTAAGGTGAATTAAAATGCAGCCTTATTAATGAGCAAAACGTTCGGGTGTTAAGCGCACTATTTACGCGTGGCTGGGAGCAGGTGTAGATTTCTTGTGTACCAACTAACATTTGGAAAAAACAAACATTTTAATGAATCCGAAAATTTACGCCAGAACCACTTTACACACGATTTACACAAAAATTCGTTCTGCTCGTGTTTCATGAATGAGACCCATTGTGTGTGTTTAGTGTAAAAATTACAACCTATGTAATGCCACTGAAAACCAAAGTGACTCATTTCACTTTCATCACTTTTATTCTCATGCACTGACTCGTTTGCAAAACTGAACAGCCAATCAGAGCGATCTCTCTCACCGATGGCCCGACACTGATTCGACATGGTGAATCTGGTGGACTGTCGCCGGCGTGAGGAACACACCGCAAAAACTAGACCGAAAGACACTCACCGAGGTCCAACTGTCAGCTTGGTGTGTCAAGCCACTTAGCTGATAAAGAGTAACTGCCATGATTCATGTGTGAAACGCCTCTGTGCTTCAGCTGGCTGTTACCTATCTTTCCTGAGAGCTCTCACATTAAAAACTGAGTTTTGCATTTGTAAAAAAACAACAGCTTTAGATTACTGTGTCACTTGGCTGTGTAGCACAATGTCTTTGTAATGGGGAAGCAGTACCTGCTCTGGATCAGGTCTAGCCTGAATTCTGCCACGTAAAGATGGAGTATCTACAGTTCCTGTAGAGTTCAAAAGTTCAAGAGAAGCAAAATGACTCATTTAATCATTAGGTACAGAGGGACTCAATAGAGGGAAACAATCAATAAAGTAGCTTACCAGGGCAGACACAATTGCAGCGGATCCCTTGCTCCAGGAAATCAGCTGCCACTGATTTGGTCAGTCCAATGACGGCAGCTTTAGATGTGCTGTAGACACATCTGTTAGCAACTCCTGGACATGCAATTAAGGATGAGCAATTAGGAGAGGGCAAACTTCACTTGACCTGGCATTTATCCATGCATCAGCAAAATTACAGATAATGGGGGTAAAATAATATGCCAAGAGCTACATGGAACAATGTCAATCACCACATGTAATTAAGAGCAAATGGCCAAAACTCGATATACAACATGATGTATTACAGCAGCCCATTTATAATTCAGCATCAAAATGCAAATGGTTTGCAACAGAATATAATATTTACCTTTGATACTAGATGCCACAGATGCCATGTTGATGATATTACCAGATTTACGAGCCAGCATCTATATAGAGATGGATAAGGGGAATTTAGTTTAAAATGGCTGACTGGTTAAAGTAACATTCTTCAAATCAGATGACAGGATTATTGTGTTCATGCAGAACAGATGCATAACCTGATATACATTACTTTCCAAAGCACAATTAATGTTTATTAAAGAAATTAATATTTGAATTCAGCACGGACACATTAAATTGAACAACAGTGACAGAAAAAACAGTGTTTTAATGTTATATTTACTATGTTATAATATTATAAAATATTTCTATTTCAAATAATTGTTCTTTTGAACTTCCTATTTATCAAAGCATCTTTAAAAAAAATGTATCACGGTTTCCACAAAAAATTAAGCAGTACAACTGTTTTCAATAGTGATATAATAGGTACGTTCACACTATGTTGGAATTACCGTAATTACAAGATGATAACGTGAAGTTCAACTCGGAGCTGCTCACGTCCTCGGAATTATGCGTTTCTATGTCAATGCTTATCAATGCCAAAATGAATCTGTACAGAGGTCATGTTGTACAAGTCGGGGCTCTTAGAAAATTACGTGTTTACAAGTTGTAATTACGAGTTCTACGAGGACGTGTTGCTTTTTAAAATTCGGAATCTCGGAATTAGGGTAATTCCTACATGGCGTGAACTCACCTAATAACAGTAAATGTTTCTTGAGCACCAATTCAGCATATTAGAATGATTTCTGAAGGATCATGTGACATAGTAAGGTATACAAATTTTACGAATTTGACAGACATTTATATTTCATCAACAAAGGAACAATGTTTGCGCAAATTTATGCCGTCAGAGGGATTAAGTAGTTCACCGCAGGTTACGGGTCGGCTTTGTACTCTTAACCAAAAGAACAAAAGAGATGGGGATGAAAAAAGAATCTCTAAATGTGAAGGTCTAAGGTCAAAATGTAAGAGCTAGCATGTGTTCTGGTCTAATCCTAGAGAGGAGAAGGATAAGATGACCTTAGGAAGGAAGGCCTTGATCATCAGGTACATGCTACGAACATTCACGTTCATGGTGAAATCCCAGTCTGATTCCTCACACTCCAGTATTGAGCCGTGATGGACAAAACTGTGTGAAATAAAGAAGAATGAGAACCTTTATGCACTCTAAAGGAATAGGAATAGTTCACCCAAAAATGAAACAAAGTCATGTTTTTTTGTCATTCCTGAAAAGTGATTTCTGGAGGGTGGTGTATTCTGAAACTAAGCAGGATAGGCTACATATAGAAACTCCATTTAATATCCATTTTTTGTGTCTTTAGAAGTTAGCTGAAGTTATATATTCACTGATTTAAGGAGAAATACCAACCCAGCTACATTGAAGAGCACATCCACGTGGTCAAAGTCA